ACTGCTTCACACTTTAAACCACATACCATTTTGTCTCTGATAGCATCAGTTGTCTCCAAATTCACAGAATTCTTGCTAATGACTTTAAAGGTGCTATGAGCTGGGAAGTAGATTCACCATTGTGCTGGTTGTGCTTAGGGAATCTGAAGGTATCAGCAGTCACTGCTGGTTTCGATGAAAATTGATTCTGTAGGTTTCCTACTGTTTCTTCATAGGTTTCAGAACTGTACCAGACTCCTCTGGAGGTTAAAAGTTTTGCACCCTCCATAATACTTAGGAATGCAGGGGCAACTATACCTGCTTCAATTTTGTTAACTTGAACAAAATGATGCTTTCTATGTATACTGATCCAAAATGTCCTTCCATTTTGTATTTTCTTTAAACTGGCAAGGGCCTGTGTAACATGTTGTATCATGAAATATTTTAGCACTGGCTCACTCTCTCTGCTTAAAACAAGATCTTGCTGACAGCTTGTTTCTGGAGTCTAACTCCCAGCTCAAAACATTTCCTACCTTGTAGTACTCATTACTCAGGTGTTCCTTCAGGGTAGAGTACATGGCAAGCTTCTTCTACACTGTTCACCTCTTGGGTAAATTATTTCATTTTTTTTATTCACTGTTTTTACTTTGTTACAACAATGGTGTCCTTTGATTTATTTGAGTTCACCTTACATTTTAGAATTTTAAGCATTGACAAAAACGCCGCTTTTGGAATGTACAAATTTGATTTCAATTGTTTATAAATATAAATATATATAAATACTTACACAGTTTATGAATATGATAGATTTTTCTGATTTGGGTGACTTCAGAAATACCAAGTAGCCACAGTCTACAATTATATCGGCATTTGACAAAAATCATTTCTAAGAGTAAATCTTGGTACTGTATCAAAGCGGTGCTTGGACCGCTATCAAAATTAAGAAATACATTAAATCTTTGTTTACTTTGAGTCATGCTTATACCTTTGTTACCTAGTCAACAATCTGTAAGAACATTTATCAAAATTTTTGGTATGTTTTTCTTCTTTCCCTCGCCTTCTGTTGTGAAGGTGTTCAGGACAGACTGAATTATACTTTCACAGCTACTCAGCTCCCTCTAATGCTTTGTCAATATTCATACTCAAGTCTAGACTGAGCAGATCTGGGGAAATATGGAGAAAAGGATATGAGTCAAGTCAGTCTCATCAGTTGAGGAAGGGTCACCAGGCCCGAAAAGTTAACTCTGATTTTTCTCTTCATAGATGCTGCCAGACCTGCTGACCTTTTCCAGCAACTTCTGTTTTTGTTGCAGTCTCCTCTTTATTTAGCATTGTATAAATGCTCTTCCATTAGAATCACCCGATAGCAATCAGGAGTAAGAAGCCGCTCCCAAATCTTGGTGCACCAATGCCACTGTTAAAACTGTACTGCTGTCCTGCTAACATGCACAACTGAGAAAATCAAACTTGACACACATTGATCGCTCCAGTCATCAGCAGAATGATCGGGGGATTTAGAAAACTTATTCCTCAGACTCGCACTCACTGCATTCTAAAAACTAAAAACCAAAAACCACCAGTTAGAAGTGTGATCTGGTATTACTGCCAAGAAGCTTTAAATGCCAATAAACAAAATTACCTGCATTACATTGAATAATGTTGCAATCTGATTCTGGAATACCAGGAAAGCTAGTTGTATAAGAACTTTTACAGAACCCCATATCATACAGTTTTCATTTGATGCTCAGTGGAGTTTAACTGCAATCTGAAAGTGTCTGTCAAGGCATTCATCAGTTTTCACAGATTTGAGGAACATCTTCAAATTAGAGTTCGTATTTAAATAGCGGCATGGTTAAGAGTCAGATAAACGACTGTCAATTCAAATCTCACTGGAGAATTTCAGTATAAATTCTAGTCTGACTTCACGACTAAGTGTACAGCTCTGCCAGTTGTGTCCTCCCTCAAAGGTCCTGGCATTTTCTCTAGTGGTTCAGGTGAATGTTAAAATTCTCATTGGCTGTTGAAGATTGCCAGCTACATCTGACTACATAACACAATGTATTTATATACAAAATGCTTGACTATTTGAAATACATAATAAAGTGCTATATAAATTCAATGATTCCTAGTTTTGAAAATTAAACTCCAAGACATGGTCTACACATCAGCAACTAGATCTATGTAAGATTAACAACTGCATTTCCCACAGAATACATCTGCATGTATCAAAAGTTTTAAAAAACCAAAATGTAATAAATCCTCACTTTTTTCATATAATTGAGCTTTTACTGTAAACAGGAGGTAATTTTGAATATAATTGTAGTTGCATACATATTTTACAATGTAAAATATTTCACACCCATGGCTTTTTAAGCATAATCCATAGAAAATTCATATCCATAATCCATAGATGACATATCAATTACTCAACTAAAGAACAAAAGTCATCAAGCATGCAGAAAGATTCAAAAGCAGAAGGTATCCAGTTCTGGGACAGTTTGGATTTTCTTGCAAGAATTTGGTCCTCTCAGCTCATTACTTATTCATGTTTGGGTATAATACCAAATTTCATGGGCAACACATTCTGCTTCCTGGTGGGATCTTCTCAGCCTGAACTTTTAGGTGTCATATTCGACTCTCCACAACTCAGGACCATTCCTCAACTCAATCTTTCCTGTCATCTCCATCCATCCTTGGAGATGTCAGATACCAAGCAAAAAGCACTACATTTCAGCAATGCCTTCCTAGAGGTTCTCCTAAAGTCTAACCCAGGAAGAATTCTTTTCCCCCCATATGGCTGGTAATGCAAGATCATCCCGACTAATTAAAGCAACCTGAATAGAGATGACTAGTAAAGTCAACACCTGTGGGCAGTTCAACAGAACCTGGGTCCAGTACAAGAGAATGAACGACCAGCTCTGTTCCACTAGGTATGCACCACTGTGTGCTCAATGCTTCAAGCCCCTTACATTTCAAGGTTATCACTGCACAGGATTATCACACACAAGATTGAATGTCAAGTATCTCCTCCATCATTAGCCTCATTAATGTCTCATCACTGCAGCTACTGATAGAACACTACTTGTCTTACAGTCTAGGTGCCACCATCAACATCTATGGCTATGTCCTGTACCACCAATAGGACAGACCCACTAGAAGTTGCTGAAAAGGAGCATTCAATCAGGACGGGAGTTGCATAGGAGCAAGTTCCCCTCCAAGACACAAACCATCTTGACTTGGAACTATACTGCTATTCCTTCACTTTCATTGGATCAAAATCATTGCTTTCCTTCGTAAAAACACTGTTCAGTTTCTGGTCAATGGTAAGCCCCAGGACATAGATAGTGTTAAGCTTAGTAAAGTCAAGACAGCTATGGAGTTAAGGCAGTCAAATATTTAGCACAGGTGTATTGATCTAGGAAGAAATGTCAGGAATATTTGGGCCCTTATCAGGCAGCTCATGTCTTGAAAGCCTGTCCCACTGCCACATATACATGGTAAGTTACAAACTCCATCACCAGGTTTTTCCCTTCTTTAAGTGGCCACATGCAAGATATTTGCAGCCTTGATCATTATATTGCTTTCTATGCAGCAATTAGCACTACATGACTCTCGGTGACTTTCACTATACCCTGTTATACAGCTCAACAATCTTGTGATTAACAGTTTGCATTACCATTTCATTGCCACAGTCTTAACTTTCAGGGAACACTGCCCTATGTACACTCCTGCATGACTGAATGTGGAATAACGTTCCCAGCACAATCCCCACAGCAGGTGAATCTTAGATGCCTTTCTTGATGGGACATGGTTAGGATATTGGTTTTTGGAGTTCTAAGAGATTATCTGCCTTTATTCTGTAGCAAATGCTTCCGTTCACGGAAAGATCAAGAGTGCTAACACAACAGTATTTTCTAATTTCTGCTTTGCTTCCCCCAGTTTGGTATTTGCACTGTGAAGGAAGAAATGCCAACAAATCTGGGACCCCTCCCATTTACACTACACATTCTTGGAGAAAACTTATTTTGAAAACTGATTTGGAGAAAGATGGTGGGGGGGGGGCAAACTTTTCCTACAAGTCATTCACTCCTTGCCTTCTCTTTTTCTCCCATTACTGTAGATTTCTTTCCTCTGGCATCCCTTTGCCCTTCTTCAGCCCTCTCACTGTCTCCCTCAATTTTCCAGCTCCTTCCCACTGTTCCCATTCCCACATAGATCCTTATGCCTTAGGCTATTACCACTCCTTACTTAAATTTACCTGATCATTCACTTTCATCAGAGCACACAACCACCCAACTGTGTCCACCACTCCTTAATGAGCAGCTCCCATCCTTCCTGACCCTTTCCTCCTGTGACTCTCACTCTCATTCACATGCATCCCAGTTTGCTGTCTCCATACCTCAGAATTCTTCGTGCATCTGAAAACAATGCCCTTTGAATTCCACTCACTATCCTACCACTCCTTTCCACCCAGTACATCTGTGAATCTTCTCAATAGAGTTCCCTAGTTAGTTTTGCTAGCGCCAGGCTGCTCGCCTGGGCAGGCGAGTAGTCCAGGTCAGCATTACATGCAATATTCGCTCTAAGCTGCATGGTTCTGCATGTGCACAGCTGCTCCGACATTCCGCACAGAGATCAGCATGCCAACTGCAGCACAGACTTCAGTTCCAGAAGTTACTGCCGTGCACAGGCCTTGGAGGTCTTTGCAGGATCAGATGAAAATTAGGGGGAAATTGCTGCTTATATGGTCAGTGTTAAAGAATTAAAACAAACAAGCCTGCATATAACTGAGACTTCTCAGTAACTGGTTGACACAAAGAAGCTTCACTTATTACACTGTAAGCAGCTGTGCACTGAAACGGTTTAGTTATGAAGGAGCAAACTAATGGAAGAAGTTTATATACACTGGAGCTTGGAAGAAAAAGTCTACTCTGCTAATTACATGCCTCATTTTAAATACACGGGTTTGTAAACAGACATGTTTCCCATATTTGGCTAACAAAAACCTGAAGCAACATTAATTTAAACAATTGTTTCTTTATATGAATATATGTTTTTCAAGTATAAATTTAACAAATAATGAAACAAATCAAATCATTCAGGTGAAAACTATATCAATGTTGGACTGAAAATTTCCACACAGGAATTAACAATCATCTTGCAAATACAAGTACTGTCCAGGTGGTCCAAGTCTACATTTAAACAAGATGTGTGCAAGGTAATTCTCTCCAAAATGAAGACTCAATGCTTCTGTTATTAAATTCTTAAAATCCCATCCTGGCTCTTTTCTTTTTTGGCTGAGATGATCCAAGTTGACTCTGAGAGGTTGATCGCCAGGACATTTCATAAGTAGATGCAACTTGTGATGGCTCAGGAAAAGACATCTGAGTGGATGAAGTTAATGGTAATGACATATTTAGTTCATCAGCCTCTTGAGAAGCTTGGAATGAATGGTCTTCCAGGGCAGCTAAGTAATTCTGAAGAATTCTTTTCCGTTCCTTGGGAATACTGGCTAACTGTATTTCTTGTGAAAAAGTTGGTATTGATGCCTGGCTTTGTTCCACCACAGCCACACTGGACTCAGCTTCCATTTCTTTCTGAGGCTTTTCAGCAACTGTCCTAACTGATTGGTTTACCTCAGCTGATTTACTGGATGTAACATTACTTTCTGTACCAGACAAATAATCACTGTGCTCTGAGTTTATTCCAGAGAACGTACTCCAATTTGAAAAATCACTGAAGTCAGACAAACCAGACACTGAGGAAGTGAAACTGCCTGACAGCTCTGTCCGCTGTCTTGTTCGGGCTAATTTTTCACGTCGTCTTTTTGCACGCAGTGCTTGGATTTTCTTGTCCCGGTTCACACCTAGCTTCTCTTCCCACCACTGACTCCACTTTCCTTCCCACGCAGCTGTAAGCCTTTCACTAAGTTCATCTCTCCAAACTGAGGCATCCACAACATCTGGGACACTAACAGGATCCAGTATTGGAAATGTACTGTGACAAAGAACTTGCTGCTTCTCCATAACTGCACTCATTTTATCCCACAGTTCCCTGCATGTGTCAGTTGATTCTTCACTTTTCTTAAATGTTTTACAGGGAAACAGACATTTTGAACTGATACCAGTACGTTTGTGGAGGGTATTGGAGGCACTTTGAAACTTTTTTTGCTTCTTTAAAAATGAGTTTACCCATCTTGAACACTTGGCAAGAGCAGTGCAACTGGGTTTTAAAAGTTGATTAGTACATTGGAAACTTTGTTCATCCACTCCACTTCGTGAAGAATTTCCTTCTGGTCTTTCAGTTTCGCCTTGTGTCAAATCTTCTGCTCCTTCATCCCTACCTTCTGTAGAATGATTTGAAGATTGTACCCGTTCAGTCAATATTGAGTTATTTGGTTCATGATCATATCCAACCCTTGCTCTTGCTGTGGTTTTTCTACTAGCTGATGAATTCTTATGAATTAGCATCTGGTAAAACAGGTCTCCCACTGCAGTGAGCTGAATCACCGACAGAGACTTTTTGCCACAACAATGGTAAAGTGTTGCAAGTCCTGTAAAATAAGAACAAGGGTTTTTCTTCCTATCAAATTCACTTAGATCTTCATACACCAAGTTGTAAGCTATCCCTTGTATGGTCTCAAATCCAGTGGTACATTGAAAACTGCAACACACCTTAATACATTGATTATAAAGTGAAGATCTTGCAAGATTTCATAAAAATTATATTTCTCATATATGAATCCATGCTATGAAATGGTGAACAAATTTACAAACAGCTATGCTAGCTATCAGACTATTTTAATAGAAACTTTTGAAAAATGCACATCTCACCTGCTCCAGGGGAGTGAAGTCTCTCAACAACTGCTTCATGTTGCCGAGGTAACTTGACTGGTAAGTGTTGTATCATGTCGTAAATACTGGAAAGCTTCAGTGGTGGACCAAGTGACTTGCAAGGAAGCTGTGTCCCACCTAATAAAGTTGTAAATGTTTTGGTGAAATTGAATACTTCTGTAATAAACCACATTCTTACATTACCACATAATTGGCCTGAAACCTTTGCAGTCCTGAGGAGTGTTGTGGAACAAAGGGACCTAGGAGTACAAGGTACATAGTTCATTGAAAGCGGCGTAACAGGTGGACAGGGTGGGGAAGAAGGCACTTAGCATGCTGGCCCTCATTGGTCGAGGCATTGAGTGTAGGAATTGGGACGTTATGTTACAGTTGTACAAGTCATTGGTGAGGCCGCACTTGAAGTATTGTGTACAGTTTTGATCACCCTGTTATAGGAAAGGCAGTTACACTGGAAAGCGTGCAAAGATGATTTACAAGAGTGTTGCCAGGACAAGTAGGCCTGAGTTATAGGGAGAAGTTGGCCAGGATAGGCTTTTATTCCTTGAAACATAGGAGAATGAGGGGTGACCTTATTGAGGTGTATAAAATCATGAGGGGCATAGATAGGATGAATGCATATAGTCTTTTTCCCAGGGATGAGGCATTGAAAACTAGAGGGCATAGGTTTTAGATGAGAGGGGTAAGTTTTAAGAAGAACCTGAGGGGCAACTTCTTCATGCAGAGAGTGCTGCGTATATGGAATGGGCTGCCAGAGAAAGTGGTTGAGGCAGGTACAATAGCAATATTTAAAAAAACATTTGGATAGGTACATGGATGAGAAGGGATTATAGGAATATGGAACAAATGCAGGCAACTGGAACTAGCTGAGTGGGCACCATGGTCAGCATGGACCAGTTTCGGCTGAGGGGCCTGTTTCCATGCTGTATTACTCTATGTCTTTATAACAGATCGTTAATGAGGTGTATGTGCTTTATTGTGATCCGAGATGCACCTCCTGTTCTCACACATACAAGAGATTTGGTGCTGTTGATGACACTATTGTGCACCCATTGAACGGATGCCGCTTGGTTGCTTATCCAGCTCGCTACCTCACTGTCCAGGAGAGCAGAGAAACAGCAAAGGGTTTGGTGAGATATAACCAGTGAGTAGTGAGCAGTGAGCGGTGAGCAGTGAGCAAGGCAGTCAGTGGTTCCAGGTGGGGCAGTTAGTAAATTGTGACCCCAGAATTTATAACTGGTGTTTTGTGATTCAATCCAGTCTGAAGACTGCAATCTTTAACTATGGTATTCGATTGCCAGATGAGATAACACAACATTTGCACATTGGAGAAATATTTGAAAAATAACTTTTTTTTTGGTACTACACTCCTTAAAATATCTTTGAATTGCTCAATCGCAGATGGTGCTATTGTTTGATGTCAGCAGCCACCTATGAAAATGTTGGCAATGATGTCAGAAGCACCGAGGTCAGAGTGCAGCCTCTGTAGTTACAGCGGCAACAAATTCAGCCTCACTACACAACCAATCTTAATTTTATTTTTGTGGAAATTATATTAAATAGCTCCAATAATTACTAGATTTTTAAAGAATTGAAACATTTTTCTTAAAGAAGTCTGTTCATTGTATTTAAACTTCTGGGTTAATCCAAGTCTATGTTCCAACCTTCATTACACTCTAAATTTTTTAAAAACAAAATGATTTCAGAATTAGTGCTTTTCATTTTGTAGTAGGCCAAGGATGCTTTAATCTGATTAGCTGCTTTGAGGGTTTGATGACATTACTGGAGTACGACATTGATAATCCCCATTAAAATGCACTGCACTCAATTGTACAATGAGAAAGTTAAAGTTCTTTCCACAGAAATTTCTGGATCTCATGGTGCTTTTTTTTTAAAATAAAAGAGGTCAGCCGATAGTGCAAATCCCAGGCCATTAAGCCAAAACACCAACAGCAATAGCTTCTCTTCCTACCCTTTCACTGTAATCTTAGAGACCTGCAAGGGTTCGTCATTGGTCCCTTGCTTTTCATTATCCACATGCAATTCCTTTGTAACCCTGCATCAGCTTCTAGTACACCAGTGCTAACATACTTTGCTCCATCATTTCACCATCTCTCAATCCCTCTTCTCCCTTAATACTGTTCCTATAATCAGTTTAACACAATTTCTCCAACAAAGGACACTGGTTTAACACACACTTTATTTGCAGCATATATAACAGATTCTGAAATGTTCCCCAAATCCCAGATAAGCTACCATCAAATATACATTGTTATCGTGCTGAAAATTGTATGCAGCTGCTATTAATTATCTTTGACTAGCTGTAGAATTCTGGGGTCCCTTTAATAATTTCCTTTCTCTTTATCAGCCTGCCTTGAACATTCTACACACTCCCAAAACATGGTATTTTTCTCTGGAATCATTAGCATCTTGTTATTACGAAGCAGACAAACAAAGTCTCACTAACAATAGCAGTCACAATTTACTAGTCACCTGAATACTGCAGAAGTAACACTTCCTGAGTACGCTGAGTCGCCAGGACAATCTTGTTTGCTCTTTTTTTAGCTGCCCCACATGCAACTTGTGCAAACATTGGTGGTGACTTCAGCATGTGAGACCATTTTAGGACAGGTACAGTTGGAAATCGTTCATCTACAATGTAGGCAGAATACTATATTTGAAAAGCAAAATATTGATTTAGTATTCAAGCAACCACAAGAACTAATCATTATTGAATATCAATTTAAAATCTCTCAAAGGTTTCATAATTAGGTATAGTGTTTTAAAATGCTTCGATCATGACCTCAATACTGTCAACAAGACCACAAAATTTTTTTTTTGGACCACCATTTCCTTCCCTCCACTAAAGCCACAGTGACACATTTTGGAATAAAGTCTACTGGCTTTAGCCAGACTGCTACAATAACAAAGTGACTATTTTTCATGGGTATGTCTCAACAGAAATGTGCGGCAAGAGAGTGTACAATAGCTGGGAATTGAGCTAAGTGTGGAAGTTTAAGAAACTGGGGGAGGGAGGCATTGCTGTATCTTGTTTCAGTCATTTTGGCAGGAGCTGCTTTGTATTCGAGGTGCTGCTGCTGGTTAGATCTAAGAGCAGGCCTAAGCAAATACCAGGCTTTGTTGAGGAGAGTAAGCAGGAACAAGGTAAGGGTAAGATGAGACAACAAGGTGCAGGGCTGGATGAACACAGCAGGCCAAGCAGCATCACAGGAGCAGAAAGGCTATTTTTAAACCCTAAGTCCACTCGTTGTTAAAGGGCGGAGATGGCATACTCCTGTCAGATGTGGGAGTTCAGGGAGCAGTCAATTGTCTGCAGGAAGTGTGTCTGGCTGCAGCTCCTCAGACCCCATGGATCAGTTGGAGCGACAGTTTGAAGCAGTCAAGAGGTAGAGTGTGAGAATAACAACTGCAGGGAGGTGGTCACACTACAGGTACAGTCAGGTAGACGGGTAACTACCAGAAGCAGGCAGGTACTACTGGAAGTGTCCTATGGCTATCCCACTCTCAAACAAGTATACCATTTTGGATGCTGGCGTGCGTGTGTGTTTGTGTAGGAGATTTCCTTTCAAGGGAACACATCAGCAGCAGTCAGGTCTTTAGCACCATGACTGGCTATTCTGTAAAGCAGGGTATGACAAAGTCCAAACGTGTGATAGTTGACTCTCTAGTCAAAGGCACAGACGGTCATTACTGCAGCCCAAACAAGATTTCAGGATGGGGTGTTGCCTCCCTGCTGCCAGGGTCAAGGACATCTGACAGCTGTTGCATGAAATTCTCAAAAGGTAAGTGAGAGTAGCCAGAGGGCGCTGTAAGCATTGGTACCAACAATATAGGTAGAAAAAGGAACAGGGTTCTGCAGAGTGAATATTGGCAGTTAGGTTTGGGGTTAAAAAGTAGGAACTCAAAAGTACTAATCTCTGGATTACGGAATAGAAGGTTAGGGCAGACGAAAGCATAGACGAGGAGCTGCTGCAGGGGCCAGGGATTCAGATTTCTGGATAATTGGGATATTTTTGGGGCAAAATTGACCTGTACAAGAGGGACGGGTTACACCTGAACTGAAGGGGAATGAGTACCCTCGTGGAGTGATTTGCTAGAGCTACTCGAAGTGGTTATGTGTGCGTGCGTGCATGCATGCTTTTGGGGGTGGGGGAGTTTAAGCTACTCTGGCAGGGGTTGGAGCCCTGAGCAGTAGTAAGACACTGCTGGGTGGGTGTTGAGGTTGGTTGGCTCGCCGAGCTGGTTTGAACCACAACCCGAGCTACAAATTTAATCCAAAACCTTAGAGAACTACGGGCATAACACGCTTAAATTGGCACGAAAATGGGAAAACTACGCCAAACAAGAACGCGCAACCCGCGAACAACTCTACTTCCTACATGGATGCCTCAGGAACCCGGTATTACCACGCAGTGAGAGATACAAACCACCAATCAACAACCCACAAGCCCGGGAAACAGCAGAACAAAACGGCCGCAACATGGTAACAGTAATCATAAACGATGCACACAACCGACTCCACAGATACAACAGTGAAATTATGCGCCAAAAAACTTTATTCCTAGAAGCTACCAATCAAGACTGCACAACCGACATGGAACAAGCCATCAACATCAGCCAACAGACCACAAGAGCCACGAAAAGATATACCCTTCAAGACAAGCTAGCCACACTTACCCACAAAAACAGAACAGACACCGATAAGAAACCTCTCCGACAGGAAACCTTCAGGACATGGAAAAAGCCGTTTTCACCCAAGGACTGAACTGCAACTACAGGGATGCCAACAAAATGGAATTCCTAGCCACACTGGAAGCCACAATACGCACCAACAATATCAACGAAGAAACACAACAAACAATAAGACAGACAGTAATCCCGACACTAACCAGAAGGAGCGAACTCAACACCCTCAACACGTTGGAAAGACAGCCCCTGGAAGGCCTGAAGAAGGACAAGAACATCACAATACTACCTGCAGACAAAGGGCACATGACAGCAATACTGAAAAACACAAAGGGAAAACATCGCCAAGGCACAGGCACTGCTCACAACGAAAACACATACCGGCCAGTACAAACTGACCCAACACCACAACTAGGCAACAAAATCCTCTACACGCTAAAAACACTTAAACAGACAGGACAGCTCAACAAAGCAGACTTCTTAAGAATGAAACCCGAAGGAACTAACACACCCCGATTCTATGGCCTCCCGAAAGTGCACAAGCCGGAAGTACCCCTTAGACCCATAGTCTCCCTACCGGGCACTCCATCGCACAGATTAGCCAAAGAACTACAAAGGAGGTTCAGGCACCTAGTCAACAAGTCATCCCACTCAATCCACTCAGCCCAAGAATTCCTCAACTCCATCAAAGACATAAGGATAGATGATGAGGAGATCATGATATCGTTCGATGTCACTGCCCTATTTACATCAATAGACATACCACTAGCACGGGAAACAATGACAGCACTACTGGAACAAGAGCAATATCCCAGTGAAACCATCTCCACAGACAACATGCTCAAACTACTGGACCTATGCCTCACCACCCACTTCATTTTCAATGGCCAAGCATATGAACAAATCAACAAGATACCCATGGGATCACCTATCTCTAGACTCGTAGTAGAGGCAACGATGCAAAAACTAGGAAGGACGGCCCTTCCGCTAATCCAACCAAAACTATGGATACGCTACCTGGATGGCATCTTTGTCATCATTGAACGGACCAAACTAGAGGAGACACACAAACTTATAAACAACACCCTCACCGGAATAAAATTTACCAGAGAGGAGGAGAAGAACAAACAGCTCCCATTCCCGCACGTCATGGTAAAGCGCAAGACAAATGGGAAACTCCAAATGAAAGTACACAGAAAAGCCATACACACGGACCAGGTACTGAACTTCAACCAGTAACCATCCCAACACACACAAACGAAGCTACGTGCGAACAGCATTTTCTAAATGCTGTAAGAACAATATTAAATTTGAACTGAATATTTAACCAGAAGAGAACTGGTTCAAATTCAGAAATGAACCAGAACATAATCTCAGAGTAAGGGGTCCTAGTTAGGACAGTGTTGAGAAGGAACAGCATCTCTGAGGGCAGTGAATGTGTGGAATTCTTTACCACAGGAGGCTGATGAGGATGGGTTGTTATGTAAATTCAAGACTGAGATAGACAGATTTTAATCAGCAAGGGAATGAAGAGTTATGGAGAGAAGGCAGGAAAGTCGATTTGAGGATTATCAGATCAGCGATGATCTCATTAAATGACGACTACCAAATACATTTTATGATCTTATGGAACTGAAGTTCAACCACAGCGTCCACTTCCAACCAATGATTGAACATCACCTGCAATTCTGAAAAATAATTTGTTTCTTTTTTCCTACTCATTTAAGAAATTTCAACATCCTTTCGCTCCATAGTACAAAAAACAAGAGGAATATGTGTAGATGTATGTGCTTGTGCATATGTACGCGAGTACGAAGAAACAGTTTAAGAAACTAATCAACTGGGGGAGATAAAGAAAATTTATATAGTCTTCTCGAGACAGCCTCACAAACAATGAATTAATTTTCATGTACAGTTAGTCTTTTGTGGGTAAACACAGCAGCAGGTACACAGCAAAGTGTTCATGAACAGCAAATAAGATAAATAACCAGTTGAGGAAGGACTTTTGGTCAGGATACTAGAATTCATTTTCGTCTTGGCATTTAGACATGGTATCTTAATGTTAACTGAATAGGCACACAGGAGTTTAGTTTAAAGTCTCATGCATAAAACAATAGCTCTAATGACTCAAAGATAACGTGTTCATTTCCTTTTAACTAATAGATTGTCAAAGAAGCAAACAAAATCAGATAACCAAAAACAAAAAAGATTTAAGAGCACAAACCTGGGTGGTAATAAGATAATGGTATGGATTTATATCTTGTAGATGTTTAGGAAGAATTACACGTTCACCTTTTTGACAGTCAGCAGTCGCTCCTATCTTAAACAAGGTTTGGTCACAGGCCTCACCAGACTAAAAGTGCATATTGAAAAGAATTTTAGAATTAGACAATGATGTTCAGATAGATAATGATGTGTAATACGCTTGAGCAATATAGAGTACTAAGGCTTTAGTTTTATTATTCACTCACAGATGTGGGCATCACTGGCCCAGCCAGCATTATTGCCTTTCTCAAGCTGCCCTCAGGAAAGTGGTAGTGAGCTGCCTCATTGAACTGCTGCAGTCCATGAAGGCTAGGTACACCCATAGAGCTGTTACAATGGGACAGTGAAGGAATGGCGATTTAGTTACATGTCGGGATTGTATACAACTTAAATGGGAACTTGCAGATGGTTGTGTTCCCATGAATCTGCTGCCCTTGCCCTTCCAGGAGGAAGGCACTGTCTAAGGAGCCCTGGTGAGTTGTTGTAGTATATCTTGTAGATGGTACACACTGCTGCCACTGTATGTCAGTTGTCTTAGCGACACATAGATCAAAAGCACAGAAAAAGACCCTTCAGTCCATCATGTCCACATCAAGAAAAAACAATCACCTAATTATTCTAATTTTCCAGCATTCAGCCCATAGACTTGTATGCCTTGACATCTGCCTCCACTACCTTTACAGTCAGTGAGCTCCAGATTCCCATCACCCTCTGGATGAAAAAGATTTTCTGCACATCTCTAAACCTTTTGCCCCTTAATTTTTTAAGCTCTTGGTCATTGACCACTTCATCAAGGGAAAAAGTTTCTTCCTGTCTACCCTATCTAGGGCCCTCTTAATTTTATAAATGTCAATCTCCTTTGCTCCAAGGAGAACAGCCCCAGGCTTAATAACGGAAATTCTTCAGCCCAGGCACCCACTGGTGAATTTCCTCTGCACCCTGTCCAGTGCTATCACACCTCTCCTATAATATAGATTCCAGAACTGCACACATTGCTCCAGCTGTGGCCTAACCAACATTTTATACAGTTCCAGCATCACCTCCCTGCTCGTGAACTCAATACCTTGACTAATAAAAGCAAGTATCCCATATACCTTCTTAACCACTCTATCCACCTGACCCGATAGCTTAAGGGACCAGTGGACACGCACGCCAATGTGCATGTGATCCTTGGTGATTCCCAGGGTCCCGCTATTCGTCATGTATTCCCTTGCCTTGGTTGTCCTGCCCAAATGCAACATCCCGCAGTTATCTGGACTGAATTCCATTTGCCATTGATCAGGCCACCTGACCAGCCCATCCATATCCTCCTTTAACTGAAGGCTATCATCCTCATTTTGTGTCACCCCACCAAATTTTGTACTGTCTGTGAACTGACTGCTCAATCCTCCCACATTATTGCAAAGTCTGAACCATTTATATAAATGACAAATAGCATGGGCCCAAACTCTAACCGCTGCAGGGCCCCACTAGTCACAAACTTCCAGTCAGAAAAACACCCCTCAACTATCACCCTTTGCATTCTGGCACTCAGTCAATTGTGGATCCAAGTTGCCAAAATTTTCTTAGATACCACTGGGTCTTACCTTTGTTATCAGTCTTATCAAAAGTTTTGCTGAAGTCCAAGTATATATATAATTGTATCAAATGCATTACCCTCATCTACATACCTGATCACCTCTTCAAAAAATTAAATCAAGTTGGTCAGACCTGATCCCCCCTTAACAAAATCATTCCGACTGTTTGTGATTAATGCCTGCCCCTCCAAATGCAGATTAATTCTGCCCTTCAGAATTGCTTCCAAGAGTTTCCCCACCACCAAGGTTAGACTAACTGGTCTGTAGTTTTCTAGTTTCTCTCTTTTTGAATAATGGTACTACATTGGCTGTCTTTCAGTTCTTTAGCAGAAAGGAATTGAAAATTTTTGCATGTGCCCCTGCTATTTCTTCCCTTGTCTCACTGAACAACCTGGCATATCAGGGAAAGTAGACTGCTTTGTCCTGTATGGTATCTAGTTTCTTGAGTACTGCTTGAGCTGCACTCATCCAAGCAAGTAAAGAATATTCCATCACAGTCCTAACTTGTGCCTTGTAGATGGTGGACAGGCTTTGGGGAGTCAGGTGGTGAATTACTTGCTGGAGAATTCCCAGTCTCTGACCTGTTCTTGTAGCCACTATATTTATGTGACTGATCAGTAGAAACTTCCATGATTGATAGCAGGGGAATCAGCAATGGTATAGCCATTGAATGTCAAGGGGCAATTGCTAGATTGTTGGAGATGGCCATTGCCTAGCACCTCAGTAAAGTATCAGTCCAAGCTTGGATACTGTCTCAATCTCTCTGCATTCGGATACTGTCTGCTTCAGAATCTGAAAAGTAACAAATCTACACCTCTGAATTTACGATAGAGGGAAGATCATTAATGAAGCTGCAGATGGTTGGAACTAGGACACTACTCTGAGGAACTCCTGCAGTGACGTCCTGGGGATGAGATGCCAGCAGAGAGTGACCCCCCCACCCCTCTCTGATTCGTAATTACTCTACCTAGGCTAGGGCTCCTTGATGTCATATTCAGTCAAATTCTGCCTTCACATCAAGAGCAAACACCCTTACTTTCCCTGTGGAATTTAGCCCTTTTGTCCATGTTAGATCAAGGTTGTAATAGCGTTCAGAGCTTAGTGGGCCTAGCAAAACCCAAACTCAATGAATTTTAATAAACAGATGGGAGTAAAACACTATGGTAGCAAAAATAGATGGTGTACAGTGGTCATATTTCAGCATTTAAAAAGTCACCATTTCGGAACAAATATTTCTAATATCGTGTTTTCATAGCAGCGTCTGCTGATATTTACTGCTCCATATTACGCAAAATCAAACAAATGACTGAACTAAGTGAAACTTATCACAATTCTTACTCTTACAGTTATCTGTGAATTGAAAAAATTTAATGATTTGCATTTGATCTCATCTCATCAAGTTTCCCTTTGAAGAGAGCAAAGGTGCACACTTATAAAAGCCATGAGTATCCACTTCCACTCCTGAGTTTTGTTATCACACCGTCATTACAATGCAAGATTGAATCAACTTCTGTTTAAAAAGAAAGACACTCGGATCTTTTACAGGAGTGACCAATATATCTGAACCCAAGAAAGCAGCCAAGGCAAACTCAAATTTTCAATAACTGTTTAACAACAATCGGTTTATGTGTTTTTTGTAAAATATTTTAGTTGGTGCTGCCAGCTGCCAACATCTATTGTTAGACTCACATGGCCATCCACAATGGCTGAAGTTCTGGTTTTTGGACATTTGAATTACTTCTGCACAAAGCTTTCCATAAAACACCAGAGATACAGTAGTGAACCAAAAGAATAATAACTGCATGTGCACTAAAAAACTCCTGTTATCTTCACATGCTAAACTCCAATAGATACACGTCTCACTTGGAGGTGAAGGAAATAGGGAAAGAGCAAACTATAATCATTTTTGAAAATACAGAATATTCATCAACTTAAGTCCTATGAGTTCTAAATCGTTTTAAAAAAACATGTACCTACCCTTACATCGGTTAAATCAAGCCCAGTTCTGTCCGCATACATATAGACTCGTGGGTGAGCTGTGAAGTCACACCATCTCCAAGGCAACTGGGCATTAAAATAGAGGTTATCCGTTTCCTTTCGAATTTTACGAAGGCTGATGGCATTTTAATAAAGAAAGAAAATGAAAATGAATGATAGAAGATTCCTTCAACGGACACATGTATATTAGTCTGCTAAGCAAGTACCATTTAGCTGCATTTTTAAACACATCACAGTATCAGATTTTACAAGACATGACTGAAAGGGAAGGGAAGGAAACATCATGCCTAACACCACCCCAGCCCTCAAATAAACAGATCACTTTTTAAAGCTATCAGCAAGTGACCGACAGCGCAAAGTGATCCTACAATCAACAGAAGAGATCTAAGCTCTGCGGTCTTGCCACACCCAGTCGTGAATGGTAGTGGATAATTAAACAATTCACTGGAGGAGGAGACGGCTCCACAAATATCTTCACTCTCAATGATGGCAGAGACCAACACATGAGTGCAAAAGAATAAGACTGAAGCATTCACAGCAATCTTCAGTCAGAAGTGCCAAGTGGATGATCCACCTTGGCCACTTTCAGTGGTCCCAGCGTCACAGATAGCAGTCTTCAGTCAATTCAATTCACTCAATGATATCAATAAATAGTTGGAGGCATTGGATTCTGCAAAGACTATAAGCCCTGACATCATTCTGGCAATCGCATTGAAGACTTGTGCTCTAGAACTTGCCACTCCCTTAGCCAAGTGCTTCCATACAGTTACAACACTTACATCTACCCAACAATATAGAAAATCATCCAGGTATGTCCAGCATGGAAAAAGCAGGACAAAACCAATCCAGCCAATTACCACCCAATTAGTCTACTCTCAAAAGAAGGTGTCAACAGTGCTTTCAAGCAGCACCTGCTCAGGAACAATCTACTCAGCGACACAGTTTGGAGATGGGCTACTCCTGACGGCACTATAGCCCTGGTTCAAACATGGACAAATTTGTTCAATTCTAGAGGTGAGGAGACAGCAACAGCTCTTGACACGCATTCGACAAGAGTGTGGCATCAAGTAGCCCTAGCAAAACTGGAATCAATGAGAATCAGCAGCAAACTCTCCATTGGTTGGAGTCATACCTAGCACATAGGAAGACGGTTGTGGTTGTTAGGAGTCAGTCATCGCAGCTCCAGGATATCTCTGCAAAAGTTCCTCAGGATAGCATCCTAGGCCCAATTATCTTCAGCAATGACATTCCCTCCACCATAAAGGTCAGAAGTGGGGATGTTCAATGATGATTGCACAATGCTCTGCACCATTCACAACTCCTCAAATACTGAAGCAGTCCATGTTTAAATGCAACAAGATCTGGACAACATTCAGGCTTGAGCTGACAAGTGGCAAGTAACATTTGCACCTCTCAAATGCCAGTCAATGACTATCTCTAATAATGGACAATCTAACCACTGCTCCCTGACATTCAATGGTGTTACCATCACTTTGAATCCTCCACTATCAACATCCTGGGGGTTATCATTGACCAGAAACTCAAGTGGACTCGCTATATAAATACAATGGCTACAAGAGCAGTTCACCTCCTGATTCCCCAAAGCCTGTCCACCATCTATAAGGCACATGTCAGGACTGTGATGGCATACCCCCTACTTGCCTGGATGGATGCAGCTCCAACAACATTTAAGAAACTTGACACCATCCAGGATAAAGTAGCCCGCTTGATTGGCACCATATCCATAAATATCCATTCCCTCCACCACTAATCTATAAGATGCCCTGTAGAAATTCACCAAAGATCCTTAGAGAGCGCCTTCCAAAACCATGACCACTTCCATCTAGAAGGACAGGGGCAGCAGACAGATGGGAGCTCCCCTGTAAGCCACACACGAACAGGACTTGGAAATACATAGCTGTTCCTTCACTGTCACTGGGTCCAAAACCTGGAATTCCCTCTCTGAAAGCATTGTGGGTGTACCTACAGCACATGGACTGCAGCAGTTCAAGGAGTCAGGTCACCATCACCATCTCAAGGGCAACTAGGAATAAGCAATAAATGCCAACCAGTCAGCGATACCTATGTCCCATGGGTGAAAAAAAGAAAATCTTTTAAAGGCTGCACCAGAGGATGCGGCACTAACATTGAGGATTAGGCAAAATTATTGCATTCTCCTTCAAGATTTGTTCTATAGTTTTATGTTTTGGTAGGCATCTCTCTCTCTCTGTTTTATAGAAAAGTTGTTATAACTTGAATGGGCACCACTCCACATCAATCATCACTGACCAGAATCTCTCCAGTTTTTATGCCTGCATAGACATGTTGGATGGATTAGCAGATTAATTATCAATTTCTTTGGTTGTGTTGTGAACACTCCTTCCATGATCAACAAGCATTAGAGCAGGACTTGAACCAGGAGTGTCTGACCAGAGGCAGGCATATTACCACTGAGCCATGAGATCTCCCATCCTTTGATGCAGGTCAAATTAAACACTTTTAGAGATTCAACAGATAGCAGCTGGTGCAGCTTAAAAAAAAAACAAGAAATGACACATCGCCTTTTATAAGGGCATGCAGCAATATCCTTCTTAAATTCCTCTCATTAAAGAGTGTGTTCACTTTTTTTTTTACAAAAGAAGCATTAGATAGGACAATAAAAAAAGGAAACATTTGATGTAAAAAGAAACTGAAAATTCTGATTATCGATTTATGCAAATATTGCTGAAATCAGATAACTGCTGCCCAAAATACATAATGTCTGGCAAATTAAAACCAGCAATTAGAAAGTTGTATTGCTAGATTATAACCCAAATAGCGAATTCAATCTTGCTTTCCAATAAACCTTTCTGTACAATTTCTCAGTAGCCAACATTATGTTTCACTCCTAGCCGCTATATGTATTTCAAATTTGACCAAGATAGTCAAACTCTGGGATTAACTAACTGTTTGGTATTAGTATAAAAATGTCTTTAGTTGGTAAACATTTGGTTTGATATATCACCACTAGATAGATAAGCACAGTAACAAAAGATACTATAATTGCAACTCAATGAAAGTTTTGCTCTGTTTAGTATTTTGATCAAGATTATTATTCAGAGGGGAGGTGGTGGCATGGTGGTAATGTCACTAGACTAGGAATAGAGTCCAGGCTAAAACTCTGGAGACATGGGTTTGACTCCAACCATATTGAATTCAGATTTCGCCATTTACTAACATGTGGAATTTAGGAAAATATAGCTGAATTGTCAATTGTCGTAAAAAACCCATGTGGTTCACCAATGTCCTTTAGGGAAGCAAATCTGCCATCCTTACCCAGGCTGGCGTACATGTGACTCCAGATCCAAAAAAATGTGGTTGACTCTTAACTGCCCTCTGAAACGATCTAGAGAGCAAATCAGTTGAAGAGCAAACAGGGATGGGCAACAAATACGAGCCTCACCAGCAATATCCACATCCCGTAAGAATTTGTATTCAAAAACAAAGTTGCTGGGAAAGCTCAGCAGGTCTGGCAACATCTGTGAAGAAACAAATCAGAGTTAACATTTCGGGTCCAGTGACCCTTCCTCAGAACAGGAAGGATCAACGGACCTGAAACGTTAACTTTGATTTTTTTTCTTCACAGATGCTGCCAGATCTGCTGAGCTTTTCCAGCAACTTTGTTTTTGTTCCTGATTTACAGTACCTGCAGTTCTTTCGGTTAGAAATTTTATACAATTCATTTTCAGCTATGAAAGAATTTTAATAGCATCTTACCCTTTGTCTAAAATCCAGAGGTACGCGGTTCCACACTCACTGGCAATCACCAGCTCTCCAGGGACATGAGGGCTGAGATAGAAAGGACAGATTACTGTAAAATATTTCAGGACTTTTCTTGTTATCCCTTTTACACTACAACCTCTCCAGTCCAGAATATTTTGGAACTAAAAGTGAGATGGAAAAATAGCCTACCAAGGTTGAAGAGAAAAGCTGAATGGCTTTGTAAACATATATTGAGCTTTCCCATATTAACAGTCACTACATCCACTCCATCATCTGCCATTTTCTACTCTCATTCTAAAGGTCAAGTGAGCCCACATGCCTTCCTGATCTGTTCCACAGTCTGAACAATTAAATGAAAAGTCCTGGGTCGGCTCAATAAAATTCCAGATTTGGAAATTCTGGACTAGAAAGGTTATCAAGCATTACTTCTGAACAGTTCTTTATTTTAGTCATGCAAGAATCTAAAAGTAAAAAGCCATTAAAAAACATTGAGTAATAAATGCTGTAACATTGACCTTCTAGAAACAAAAGGGTAGGATTAAACAGTCCCAAGTCAGTTATTTTGCAAAATTTGGAATAAAGAGTCCCTGGGTTCTGCTTTATCTTAAACTAACCCTACTCAGTTACCAATTTTATATCTTAACATCCCAAGACAGCTAAACATACAGCAGAAATAAAACAATTAACAACAAGAGGAAACCACTGCAAAAAGTTCAGTCTTTGGCCAAAATATCCTTGTGTAAGGAATCTAAATTTAATTGTAAAATGAAACTTTAAAATGATACAGTATGATTAAAATAAAGTACTGATTAATGATAGCGGGGTAGGGGAAGAGACTTTAGATTTTGGGAGTGGAATTTCATTGTTATGCGTCACATCAGGGTTTAAAGGGGTGGAGGAGTTGAGGGCTTCAGTTGCTGAGGGAAGAGAGGACTTTACTTCTTGGCCAGCACAACTGGCAGGAGTTTCAGTTGCCAAGGGTGAGTTAGGGCTTCAATTGAGGAATGGGGGAAAGCTTCAGTTACTGGAGAGAATGAGGGTGGTAGAAGTAGGGACGGATGGTGCAGTTTGACATGAATGAGTGACTTTAGCCGTTTAATAGTGGGGTAGTTGTTGGGTGGAGGGCAGGGAGGATGAGGGAAAGGGTGCTTCAGCTGCCATGGAGTGGGGTGATGTTTCAGCTGCTGAGCAGACAAAGTCTTTAGTTTTTCACTGACGGATGGCAGAACATGAATTGAGCATGGTGGGGAGTTGATAAAAAGGATGGGTTTCGCCAACAAAAACTGAAAAACTACATTTACGCGGCATTTTTTGTAGCAGCAATTGGATCTTGGAAAATAGTTAATTAGACCAGGCCCATCATAGAAAAAGGTGTATTTTTCCATCTCACTTTTAGTTCCAAAATATTCTGGACTGTAGAGGTTGTAGTGTAAAAGCATTTAACAGGGCCATCTTGCAGTCAGGAATCAGTCCAAGCTCCATGACAGCTGATTGCTGTTTCAGGCTACGCAGCTCCAAAATCTCTTCACAAACCTTGGGATTTTGTGACCTGCATTTTGGGAATTCCTAAAATGCTTGATCTACTGTCCTCCAGTCTGTGTTCACATTGTAAGTAAACTAGCCTATATATACTTGAAGGCCTGAATTAAAATGATAGCAAAGAAAATTTTGCAAAACTAACGAGGAAAGCAATTTAGCCTAACTTAATTATCTAGCCCGCAGGACTTTTTATAACAATCCAATGATTGCATCTGACTGTATTTTAAACAGTTCCTCTTTGTAATCCATCTGGACGACAATTTCACGTCTTTGCCTTTTACTAGTTTGAATCTATTACAGTCCAACTATCAGCTGAGAGGAAATAATGGCTTGGTTATTTGCTCCCAGATCAGGTGCTCAGAGATGGGGAAATTCTGACACTGCAAACCAACCTTTAAAAATGGTTGCCTGGATACCAGATTTTCAGTCCATGGGTGATCAGGCTGACTAATGGTCAGAATGGACTGCACTAAAACATCAAGGTGATCAAGCCCAGAGATTCTGCCATGATGAAAGGTCAGGCCAATATTTTGGATTTATGTTCTTCTACAATGCCACAATTTACTCTCCCCCTTTTTAAGTCTGAAAAATAAAAACATGGGCCTATTTTTCATAATGCAGTCCTTAAAGGTGGAATCAGACATCAAACATTTTTCCAAGCTCAGTCCAAAATAATTGACCCCTTATCCTGAGGATGTGCCCATGTTCTTGTTTCTGCAACTGCAGAAACAATCTCTCAGAATCTACCATATCAATCACCTTCAGAATGTTTCAATGAGATCACCCCCATTCTTCTAAACTTCAGAACGTACAGGTCCAACTTACTCGGTTTCTCATCAGAGACAACCACTTTGTAAAGGTGTTCATCCTGCAAACTTGCAAAAAGTTCCAATCTCATGTACTACAATGTCACCCAACAACAGGAAAACAGATTTGCATGACCCAATAGGTTTATGTTACATATTCTGTATATAAGCATTTAAATCAAAATATTAGCATTTTAAGCAGCAGTATGATCTACTAAATAAAACATTGAGAACTTAATTCTTACCTGACGTTAATGCAAGTAGCAATATTGTCCACCTGAACTACCTGGAGGATAGATGGATTCACATCTTGGGAGAGTTTCCATGCTCCACAATGATAGTCAGACCGAACCCCTACAAAAACTGTCATTCGGAAAATTGGAGAATAAAAATGAAGTATTAACAGACTAAACAAATTGAAACAAAGTTTTAAAATTGAAAAATAAACTGTCACTGATGCATACAATTATTCTTCATTATCCAGTAGATTTACTAACAGTGACCTACTTCTGTCCCTGTCAACCACCTGAGCCTACAGCACGAGCTGAATGGGACAGAGTGGTTTTGCCATTATAATTATGTGACCAATTAAAGTAAGCAACTAAAGAGAGTACTTTGAAAATATGCAACTGAATTAAAAAATACAAGCGTGAACAGATACTGGCTTTTTTCCATGGAATTGGCCCAGAACTCCCAAAAGATGGAAATAAATCAATTAAAGGAGGTTTCCTGCTGAATTAGCCTTTATTACTTACTCACTATGATAAAACCCACTCTAAAGATTTGGACATTTAATAAAGGCTGATACTTCAATGCTGTTCTAAAGGATAGTGTCTTTCAGATAAGATATTTATTGAGACTCTCAGATGGACTTAAATGGCACCACTGTAATATTGAAAGAAAATAGGAGGGTCTCCTAATACCTTGGTCAATATTTACTCCTCAGCAAGTACTAGAACAACATTACTCTTTTTTGAACTCAGTTGTGCATAAATTAGCTGCCCCAAACTGAAGCCCTGCATTTGGACAATGACTACCTTATGTGAAATGTTTTGGGACATCACGAGCTGCTGTACAAATGTAAATTCTTTCTATTTAAAATTGAAGTGATATGCAATGTTACAGATCTCAGTAGTTTGCGTCAGCAGTTACCTTCTTCTTCAACTGTACTGGAATTTATTTGATGGATTCTACTATTTAATTTAAACTTCACTGGTTTAAATTTCATATTCAATTTGGGCATTTTACGTTCATCAAGACCCAATGCGATTTTGCGAAAGTCTGACAGAGGCAAATTAAGGAACTTAACATATTTTAAAAATATAGCCCTTTCGCAAATTCCATACTTTCTTTTTGTGTACCATCGGTCACTAAAGCCACAGTTTTATAAAAATAATGGTAATACTCGAGTAGGTTCTATTTTTGCTTTGCGTGATATTTCTTCAAAGTTTACAACAGTAATTCTTTGCTACTTTCTGTGCACCTCATACTAACAGACTTAAAGTCTCAGCTCTGAAGAGATCTTCAGAAAGTTGAGAAAAATGTATCTACATTTCAAGCAAATAAAAACCACTAATTAAATAGAAATAACACAAGCGACTCACTTGTTACACTGACATATTAAAAATTACTTGGTACAAGTCTATCCCAAACAGTAGCTGTCAAGACTTTCAAGTTAAGAAGCAAGAACCTCTGGATAAAAGGGCACTTTTGCTTAAAACAAACAAAACTCTCAGTATGGTGAAATTATGACACTTGTATAACACAAATTTCTGCAGGTTGCATTAATGTTGCCAGCCAGTTGAACAGCAAATCTAACAGAATTCTACGATAAACCAAAGCTTTCTATTGGTAACTCTGGATTCGCCAAACTTGCACAAGATTGTCATATGACCAGGCCAACCAACTGGAATGGAGTTAGGTCACACAAGTGAAATCATGGAGCTCAGAGCAAGCCAATCCTGCAGGAAAGGGGAAATCACCCCGGCAAAGAGGCTGATCCACAAAGAATTCACTTGCAGTGATGGATGGTCAGAGCACTATAAGGTGTGGGAAAATAAACAAAAACAAAGACATTTTTCATCTATTTACTGTTTCCATTTGGGGTTCTGTTTTGATATACAGCACGTGTAGGCAATTTAGATTACGTTGGGGCCTTCTTGTCTATCTTATAGCTCAATTTAATGTGTGTTTTTGGCAGATCTCATCATGATTTCACTGCAGTGTAAAGATCATCAGTTTGGGTCAATGTAATGCCCTTGTCCCTCAGTGTGTGTTATAAGTTTAAGAATTGAGCACAATGAAGAACCTAATTCTATTAGCAGAGAGACAGACAAGAAGTAGAAGGAAGTTGAACAGAACTTTTCAGTACAGGGTATCTGAAACTCGGCTTGAAAAGCTGGTAAAGGCAAAGATGCTCGTTGCATTAAAAAAAAATTTGGATGGACTCTGACTTGTCATAATTTTTTTTTTTTTAAATTCAATAATGGGATATGGCAATGGCTGGCTGGGCTGGATTTATGGAACATCCCAATTGCCCTTGACCTTAGTGGCTTGCTCGGTCATTTCAGAGGGTAATTAACAGTTAAACATATTGCAGTGGGTCAGGTGTCAAATGTAGGCCATATCAGTTAAGGATAGCAGATTTACTTCTCTATGGAGTGGCACAGCTGGCTCGACGGGCTGAATGGTCTACTGCATCCTTTATATTTAAATGGTGTAAAGGGCATTCATAAAATAGATGTGTATTTATAATAAGTGACAAGGAGTACGCAGTCACCAACAGACTAGTTCTTAACTCTAAATTTTTAAAGAATTCAATTCAATTCACCCATTTGCCATGATAGGATTTCAGCCCACATCCTCAGAACATTAGTATGGAACACCAGATTTCTAGTCTAGTGATATCACCACTATGATTCCTCCTCTCCAATTTTGGATCAAGAGTTGGAAAGTTGTATTAGATTGCATTATTTTCTTTCAGTCTATGATTCTTTTTGGCATACACAGAGATAAGGAATAGGAGGAGTAGGCTTTATAGCCTGTCAAGCAACATTCCCTCCAATCAGTTCAGCTGCATACAGACGCAGCTGCTCCAACGCTCCATACACGGCAATCAAAATCAGCATGCCAATCACAGTACTGACTTCTGATTCTGGAAGTCTCTACTGCACTCAGGGCTCAGGAGCTCACGCAGCAGGAAGATTACTAGAGGGAATGATGCCACTGAGCCTGCTCCACCATTCAATGTGATCAAAGCTGGTCCTCTACTTCAAAACCAGTTTCCCATACTCTCTCCATAACCCTTGTTGTTTTTAGTATCATGCCTCATTTGTGTTATCTTTAACGGATTGGCTCCTGTGCAATGGTATCAGATCACTAATACAATGTCATTGCATCAGTCTCTTTAAATTATGAGGACAAGCAGGCGTGAAAATCAGAGAACCACCTACTATTTTGAAATAATAATTAACAAGCTCAATAGACTGTTAATAACCCAACTGCATTTGACTTTTTACAACTCACTCCATTACTCTGGAGTCAAATGAGAAAACGCTTCGAAGAGCTTTATGCCAGTATGGGTGGCACAAAGGCCTGTGGGACTATGGCTATATGTAGAAGAGTGCGCATTTGCTGGTGAAAATGTCAACGTTGATATGGTTTTAGACATAACTTATTTATTATCTTCACCCTGAAATAAGAGGGAAGGAGAGATCAAGAGCAGAGGCCTTTAAATTTATAGCCATTACTGAGCACAACTTCTCTTCTTCATGACATTTGACCTTGGCACTCAAATGGGGGCACAGCCCCTTTGCACCAATACCTGGCCATCTGGTGCGCGATTTGCCATGCTGAGACAGCAGGCATGGGAGCCAGTGGACCTTTCACTATCTATTTCCCCTCCCTCACCACATTGGAAAATATAAAGTAGCGTATGTTTCTAAATTAGAAGCACAAAACTCTTCATTTCTCAAAGTTTGTGCAGATTCAGCAACAAGAAAGCAGCTTAACAGTATCTGGACAATGCAACCTGCTGGAGATGTAGCCATTAAACCCATTAAGGCCCTCTTAAACATTCTCCCCTTCCTGTTGGAGAATGGTGTACTATAACTACAGTACGCACCAACTACGTATCAGGAGAACGGAAATCATTGTCTTCAATCCACACCATTGATTCCATTTCTAACTGACTTGAGCCCTCTCCCTGACAGCTGTCTGGAAGTGAACCAATAATCAAATTGGAACCCATTGCCAAGAGACTCTACAGTTCTTTTAATGCTTTAGTGAAGATCTATAGCTTAGGTTGTGGCTGGAGCTGTTGGTTGGTTCGCCAAGCTGACTGGTTTTTGTGCAAACGTTTTGTCCTCCTTCTAGGTGACATCTTCAGTGCTGTCTAGCCTCTGTTGAAGCGCTGTTGTTCTGTTCTGTTCTGAATTTATATGGTCCGGTCTGTTAAGGTGGGTAGTTCTGTTCCCGGTTTTGCTCCGTAGTGATATTTAGATGGGGTCTATTTTAACATGTTTATGGTACCAGTGGTTGAAAATCAGGCTCCCAGGAATTCACGTGCTTGTCTTTGTTTTCCTTATCCTAGTACTGTTATGTTGTCCCAGTTAAACTGATGTCCTTCTACGTCGGAGTGAATAGAAACGAGGGAGAGTTGGTCATGCTGTTTTGCCACAAGTTGGTGTTCGCGTATCCTAGTGGAGAGTTTCTTGGCCATCTGTCACATTGTTTGCAAAGACTTTGTATAGGTGTTCCTCTTCGTTTTTGCATAGGTCCAGGGTGTTGGAGTGTGTTATCGCTCGTTTAAACAGAGCCTTGACACAGCTGTTTGTGGATGCTGGGGTGGTTACTGTTGTAGTTTGGTCTGTGTGCAGTCTTTCTGTATACACTGGTAAGGAATTCACCATTGTTCTGCTTAGTCAAGACTCTGTTTAAACGAGCTTTAACACACTGCAACACCCTGGAGCTATGCAAAAACGAAGAGGAACACCTATACAAAGTCTTTGCAAACAATGGGTACCCTAACAGCTTCATCTGCTGATGCCTGGCAAATAAACACCAAGAGGACATTGTACACCCAAACACACTGGCCCCCCTACCCTCTATTAGAAACATATTGGAACTGACTACAAGACTCCTATGACCTCTTGGAATAACGACAGCACACAAACCAACAGCCACACTAAGCCAGCTACTCTCAAAGACGAAACAGCAGGACAAATGTGATATACAAAATACCACGCAGCAAAATACCACCACGGTACACGAACACCAACTCACAGCGAAACGGCACGACCAGCTCTCCCTCATTTCTATTCACTCCGACATAGAAGGACATCAGTTTAACGTAACAGAACTAGGACAAGCAAAACAAAGACAAGCACGTGAATTTCTGGAAGCCTGGTTTTCAACCACTGTTACCTTAAACATGTTGAAATAGACCCCATCTACATACCACTAGAGCAAAACCAGAAACAGAACTACCCATTGTAACAGACCAGGCCATATAAATTCAGAACGGAACAGAACAACTGTGCTTCAACAGAAGCTAGATGGCACTGAAGATGTCGTCTAGAAGGAGGATGAAACATTTTCACAAAAACCAGTCAGCTCGGCGAACCAACCAACAGTTCTATTTTCATAACATCACTTCACTCATTTACTGGAAATCTTTCATTTATCACTTTGCTTCCTTTAGACATGACTATTTCATTGCACACCTTGACTGTCTCAAATGTTCTAGCTTCCATAAATTTAAGACAATTCAAAACTCTGCAGCTTGACTGCCAATGCATACTAAGTCTCATTCACGCATTACACCTGTGGCCAGTGACCTACATCATCACCTGGTTAAGCAATATATTGATTTTAAAATTCTCATCCTTGCTTCACAAACCTTCCACGGCTACCCCCTTCATTATCTGCTTAAACTCTTCCAGGCCCACAGTCCTGCAGAATCTCTGCACTTTTCCAAGTTTGGCTTCTTGAGTATCCCCAGTTTTAATCACTAAAGCTATCTCTTCAGTTGCTGAGGGGGCCAAGCTCTGGAAAAGCCTCACAGCTCCGCTTCAACACCATAATTCCAAACAAACTCATCTTTAAACTCCGAGATCTTGGCTCCCCGCTCTGTAACCAGATCCTCGACTTCCCGACCCATAGACTGCAATCAGTAAGAATAGGCGACAACACCTCCTCCACCATAATCCTCAACACCGGTGTCCCGCAAGACTATACTCAGCCCCCTACTATACTCCTTATATACACATGACTGTGTGGCCAAATTCCACCCCAAGTCCATTAACAAGTTTGATGACGACACCACCATCGTAGGTTGGATCTCAAACAACGATGAGACAGAAGACATGAGAGAGATTGCGTGCTTAGCGGCATGGTGTAGAGGCAGCAATCTCTCCATCATCAGCAGCAAAACGAAGAAGCTGGTCATTGACTTCAGGAAGCGGAGTGGAGGGCACACCCCTGTCTGCATGAATGGTGCCGAGATGGAGATAGTCGAGAGCATCAAGTTCCTGGGAGCGACAATCACCAACAATTTGTCCTGGTCCACCCACATGGATGTGACAGTCAAGAAAACACGTCTCTACTTCCTCAGGAGGAAGGAAATTCCGCATGTCCACAGGGACTCTTAAATTTTTATAGATGCACTACAGAAAGCATCCTATCTGGATGCATCATAGCATGGTATAGCAACTGCTCTACAGAGGGCTCAGACCATCACGCAAACCAACCATCCATCCACTGACTCCATCAATACTTCCCACTGCCTCGGGAAAGCAACCAACATGATCAAAGACCCCTCCCAGTTATACTCTCTTCCACCCTCTTCCATCAGGCAGAAGATATAAAAGTTTGAATACACATGAATAGATTCAAGAACAGTTTCTTCCCTGCTGTTGTCAGACTTTTGAAGGAACCTGTCAAATGTTAATTCTGATCTCTCTCTGCACCTTCTTGCAGCTGTAACACTGTATTCTGCACTCTGTTCTACTACCCTGATGCACTTTATGTGGTACGATCTGCCTGTATAGCATACAAAACAACATATTTCACTGTATCTCGGTGTATGTGACAACAATAAATCAATCAATAAAGTTCCCTTTCTCTATACCTTGCTTTCCTCCTTTAAGCCATTTTTAAAATCTATTTTTTGACAAAGCTTTTGGCCATCTGATGTTACATGCCATGGTGTGGGTTGGTGTCAAATTTTGTTTGATAACATTCTTCTGAAGGAACCTGGGCTTTATTTTGCTAAAGGCACTATAAAAACACAAGTTACTGCTGTTGTTATTAACTATCGTTTTTCTAGCAGAATGACTACCTGCATCTCTTTATTGTCTTGTACATGCAAGGAGGAACATCAGATTTCCTAAACATGATGGACAGAAGATACTTATCAACTTAAGAGCTGAATTAATAGATTGTTTAGTACTTTATTTACTCCATGGTGGAACGTTAACATTAATTTTACTTGCATTTTAATCTATGGTCATTTCAATACCTCCAAAAAATTTGGATACTAAAACAAAGATCATTCAATATTTATAAAAACCCTCATTCCAATCATTTCTGTAGACTAGCACAAAAATATCTATTATGTGATAGTAAACAATAAAAGGAAGCTCTCAAAAAAAAAGTAGTTGTACAAATGAATCACAATATTCAGATCAGTCACGATCCCAGAATTGGTAGAACAGGTAGAAAAGCTAACAGGCCTACTCCTGTTCCTACATCCCTAATATTAAATGCTGAGAAATCCTGCTAGCAAAACACTAGGACAATCCAGATTCTAACCATAACCAAATTTTTAGTACTTGCTTTCCAGTGCAACGTGGACAGCTTCTACTGACGTGGAGAGGCCAAAAATCATGAGTCTCATCCTATGAGGAAAGGTCATTTTTGTTTAGAAAAGAAATTCATCCCAGGATGCAAATCTCAATGGCTAGGGCAACATTTATTGTACATCCCAAACTGTCCTTGAAAAAGGGGCGGTAAGCTACCTTCTCAAACCTCTGCAGTTCATGTGCTGTAGGTGTACCCACAGTGCCTGAGAGAAGGGAGACCCAAGATTTTGGCCACCAGCAGTAAAAGAACTGTGATATAGCTGCAAATCAGGGTGGCCTATGGCTTGAGGTGCTTATTCTCAAGCACATTCTATTTTTATTCCTTTAGGTGGCGCATGATTGGAGTTTTGATTATATTGCTCTCATTGAGAAAATATTTCAACATCTTTCACTACTTTGTGGAAAGACTGGGTGTAGTGGTGAAATAGACGACAAATGTGGTATGGATTTGAGTTAATAAATGTGTAAAATGCAATCCCCAACAAACTATCATGAACAAATGAAGCAAGTTTACCCAAAGGATACTCAGTAAACTCATGGATTCGCTGCCAGGATAGATCAGGCACCCTTCTTCTAAACTGGCTTCTTTGGAGAAAGGACAGTATACCAGAGCACCTCCAGTGGCAGATTGATCAAATAGAAGTTTGTTTCTCTGCATCTTCATTTCTTCATGAATGTTTTCTGCCAACACATTTGGTGGAATATCAAAAACACACTCCTGCAATAACGAGTTTAAAAGTCTTGCTTGCTTACTTCCACTAGAAAGTGGGCACCTGTAAAAATAATGAAGTGCATACATCAGAAGAATGTGAAATGGATAGTCACCTGCACATTTTTGTAGGTCTTAACAATATTTACATGCAATAGCACGTGCAATGCTACGTTACAATTTCTTAGTACAATTATACTTGTCAATAAATTTCTTTGAACAACGTTGATGAAAGAATGCAGATCGAAGGCCATTCTGAAGTTTAATATTGATTTTCATACTTAAAAAGATCTAATCCTATAACTCAGCAACTGCAACTGAAATTTTTGTACTATCATTTAAACTACTAAAATTTAATACTCAAAGCTGTCATTTAGAGCTAACCCTCTATGTTTACTCTGTAATTCATTTAAACAAACTACAATGTGTGAAATTATTCAGCACATCTGGCAAGAGATCTCTTCTCCTAGAGACCAACATTACAATATGTATCAAAAACAGAAATTGCTGGAGAATCTCAGGTCTGGCAGTATCTGTGCAGAGAGAACAGTTGACATATCAGGTCTAGTGACCATTTTCCAGAACTAATAGTAACTAGGAAAAGGTGGTATATATGCTGAAGACAGGCGACGGGGGAGTTTCATTTTATTTATTACAATATGCATCCGCGCAGGATATAACTCCTAACGTCACTTACTCTTTTTGCTTTACTTGCTCTGTGAATGTTCTCAGATGGCTTACACTTATTGCAGTCTGTCTGGCTTTTCCCTTAAAAATAACAACATTGAAGTGATGAAACCTTTTAATATCCAAGTCCTCTGCACTTACTATATTAAACATTGAAGGTCTAACAGACTGAAGTTGGTCAAATTTGGAGTGGTCCATGACTTCAGAATAACTCATGAATAACAGGAAAATTAGACTGCAGAGGTTGAAACGCTAAAACTAGTCAAACCACACAGCCAGACCAGTCATAGATAGTAGAGCCTACAGTGTGTAACTGACATAGGTTCAAGACTTGGTCAAATAAATGGTCAGGACAGGGAAGCCGAATCTGTTCTTGCCTAACATCCAAATACATATTTTCAGAGACAAACAACCTTGGGCAAGTACAGCAGGAACAAGAATAAATCATGCAGTTCATTTTGTTCATCATGAAATTAATAGTTATAATTTTATTGAATTCTTGTAATCACTTGACAAAAAACAAAAACAATCCTTACCCTGAGGGCAGATTCTCCAAAATAAAAGTTCTCCTCTAGAAGTCTGCCCACCGAATTGAAGGCATCATTACGGTGATCAAGAAAGAAGTTAGCCATCTTCAAAATTATGAAAAGCAAGTTGACAGAGTACAAACAAATTTACATAATAGAAGCAACAATAACTCTCCTCTTCATCAATTAGTTTATAGTTTTGTTCCACATTATGCCATGACTTAGCACGTTGCAACTAACAACCACATTCAATAAATCAACTAACTAACTCAGTGTGCCTGCACTAATAGATTTCAATAGAATGGAATATCAAACTTACTGATACAAATTCACCACAACTCAAACCAAGCAATTAAGCCACTGATCACTAAAAGATCCTTACACCCTTTATTAAAAGAAATTGAAACAGATGTAGATTTAACACAGACTATCACTGGTTAACTATCATGAGAATGAAGGGTCACAGAGAACGCAGTTTTTAACAATGAGTTCATACATAATTAGTTTTTCAATTCCTGATCTATACCTCAATATGAAATAAAACATTTCACATAACATACCTGTTCTGTGAAATTAAGGGCACCTATTGCCATTTCATCCCCTCCTCCAGTTGTCACTAGCCTCCCAGTGTAAGTTAGATCTTCCAGACTTGCTGGCCGAAACTTGAAGACTTAAGCAGAAAGAGAAAATATTGAGTTTAGGAATAAACAACAGGAAAAAATACATACACAGAAAGTAGACTTTCCAACAAAAGCTACACACATGAACCAAACATGTTTAAATGGAAAATGTTATTTAAAAAATAATAGCGCATTTAAGCTACTTTTTGTTTAAAAAAATGGTGCGTATTTCATGGATAACAACATACAAGACCAAACGATGTAGGAACAGAAATAGGCCATTCAGCCATTGAATCTATTCTGCCATTCATGAGATCATAGTTGCAATCCTCAGCTCCAGTTTCCTGCCTTATCCCCAATTTTACTTGATTCCCTTAGTGATTAGCTATATTCAAAGTTAAGATAGACAGATTGCTACTGACCCAGTTTCAACTGCACTTTGCGGTAGAGTATTTCCACAGAAAATAACTAACCTGAGAGGAAAAAAAAAGTTCTCCTCGTCTTGGTAAGATTAGGGGGATGTATGTTGATATTCCCTTTATTCATTCACGGGATGACGGCCTCACTGGCTCGGCAGCATTTATTGCCCATCCATAATAGCCCAGAGGGCAGTTCAGAGTCAACCACATTGCTGTGGGTCTGGTGTCACATGTAGGCCAGACCAAGTAAGGATAGCAGTTTCCTTCCCTAAAGGACATTCGTGAACCAGATGGTTTTTCTCCTGACAAACGGCAATGGATTCATGGTCACAGTTAGACTCCTAATTCCAGATATTTATTAAATTCAAATTCCACCATCTGCCATGGTGGGATTCGAACCCAGGTCCCTAGAACATTACCTAGGTCTCTGGATTAACAATCCAGCGATAATACCACTAGGCCATTGCCTCCCCATTCTAGGGCATGTCAATATTAAGGAGGTGGTAGTGTTGGGAGTCTTGAAAAACATTATCTCCAGGGCCTGATGGGATCTATCCAGAATACTGCGGAAGGCAAGAAAGGAGACTGCCAGGGCCTTGACAGAGATCTTTGTATCCTCCTCAGTCACAAAAGACTGGAGAATAGCCAATGCTATTCCTCTTTTAAAAAAAAAAAAAAAAAAAAAAAAAAAAAGAGGGCAACAGCCTTACATTATTTGGTAGGGAAATTCCTGGAGTGGATTCTTAGGGACACACTTTACTCACATTTGGAAAATAATCAGCTCACTTGGAATAGTCAGCATGGCTTCGTGCGGATGAGGTCTTTTCTCACAAATTTGATTGAGCTTTTTGAGGATGTGAAAAAGATCATTGATGAGGGTAGGGCAGTGGATGCTGACTACACGGACTTCACTAAAGCATTTAACAAGGTCAATAAGAACCAAAAGAACTGTGGATGCTGTAAATTAGAAACAAAAACAGAAATTGTTGAAAAAGCTTAGCATGTCTGGCAGCATTTGTGAACCAGAACCTGAATCAATTCTGAGGAAGGGTCATTTGACCTGAAACATTAACTCTGATTTCTCTCCACAGATGCTGCCACACCTACTGAGCTTTTCCAGCAACTTCTGTTTTTGTTACATTTAACAAGGTCCATCATGGTAGGCTGGTCCAGAAGATTAAGTCACATTGGATCCATGGTGAGTTGATAAGTTGAGTATAAAATTGCAGATGACATGAAAATTGGTGGCATTGTGGATAGTGAATAATGTTATCAAAGCATACAGCAGGATATAGATCAGTTAGAAAGTTGGGCAGAGAAATGGCAGATGGAGTTTAATCAGACAAGTGTAAGGGGATACATTTTGGGAGGTCAAATGCAAGAGGAAAGTACACAGTAAATGACAGGACCTTTAGGAACATTGAGATAGTGAGGTATATTGAGCTGCTCCCTGAAAGGAGCAACACAAATGGTTAAGTTGATAATTTAGGCGTATGGCATGGCTGCCTTCATTGGTCAGGAGATTGAGTGTAAAAGTTGCTAAGTCATGTTGCAGTTGTAGAAAACGTTAGTTAGGTCATATTTGGAGTATTGTGTGCAGTTCTGGTTGCCACATTTCGAGGATATGGAGGCTTTGGAGAAATTTCAAAAGACGTTTACCAGAATTTGCCTGGATTGGAGTGTATTAGCTCTAAGGAGCAATTGGACAAACTTGGATTGTTTTCACTAGAGCATCAGAGGCTGAGGGACAACCTGATAGAAGCATATAAAATTATGAGAGGAATGGATAGACTGAATAGTCAGAGTCTTTCTTCCAGTGTGGAAATGTCAAATACTAGGGAGCATAGGTTTAATGTGAGAAGGAGAAAGCAGGGGAAGTTTGTTTTTCGTAGCTGTGGGCTTAAGTCATGTTCCCTAAACAGAGACGAGAAAAGGAAAAAAAGAATCAAAGCTGACACTCCAACCTTGACATGATACTAAGGCTCCGTCTACCCTCTCAGGTAGATATGAAAATGTTCCATGGCATTATTTTAAATAAGATTGAGGGAGTTATCCCCCGTGTTCTGGCCAATATCGATCCTTCAATCAACATCACGAAACAGAATCAGATCATTGTGATTCCCGGTGTGGATGGATTATGAGCAAAGGTTCAACAGGTTGAGACTCTACTCTCTGGAGTTTAGAAGAATGAGAGGTGACCTCATTCAAATATATTAGATTGTAAGGGGTTTGACAGGGTAAATGCTGAGAGAAAGACTTTCCCAAGAGGGGGAACAAAGATTAGAAGGCATAGTCTCAGAATTAAGGGGCACTAATTGAAGACTGAGATGAGGAGGAATTTCTTCCCTGAGGTTTGAGTGTCTTTGGAATTCCTTGCCCCAGAGAGCTCTGGGGGCAGAGTCCTTCTGTATAGTTAAAGCTGATTTAGATTCTTGATCAGTAGGTGAATCAAGCATTATGGGGAAAGGGCATGAAAGTGGTCATGAGGAGTGTCAAACCAGCCATGATCCTATTGAATGGCAGAGCAGGCTCAAGGGGTCAAATAGCCTAATCCTACTATTGTTCCTACTTCTTATGGTCTTATTTTTAAATTGCTGTTGCAGGGATTAGCTGAGCGCAAATTGGCTGCCATGTTTCTACATTATAATACCATCTGCACTTCAAAAAGTACTTCATTGGCTGTGAAGGACGTTGGAATTTTCGGCAGTCATTGAAAATGCTATGTCAATTGAAATCTTTCTTCTTCTTACAATCTATACCAATGGCTTAGATGAGTAATCCATGTGTGATGTATCCGAGATTGCTGCTGATACAAAACTAGCTGGCAAAGTGAGCTCTGAAGAGAATGTAAAGAGGCAAAAAAGAGATCAGTTCACTGCTTGGGCAAGATGGTGGCTAAAGGAGTATAATATGGTCGTGTTCTATTAGCAACATCGGTAGAAAGAGCAGAACACAAAAAGATAATTTTTTTTGAGAGGTAAGGCACCAGCAAATATTTGATTTGTGTGGTTTACTGCATTAGCTATTCCATGAGGCACTGGTGATACAGCACTGTCTGAATGACTGGATCAATCCATAGCAACACGATCAGACCCATCTTCACAACACCGGAAACAGCTAAGCCTCGGTAGGTATTGACACTTGGGTGTTTCCGTACTGAGGGTCTCTGCAGAGACTGCGGCAGCCACATATAAAGGTGGCTATCAGGATGAACGCAGTGTTGGGTGCATTTTTTCCAACTCTTATCTAGAGTGGTATATCATGTTTCTATGAACACAGTCCATTTTCAACCTTCAGAAAATGAAGATTACTACTCGAACAACTGTCACAGCATAGGACTGGGTATGGCCCAGACATCCGCCATGTACGGCAACACAAAGAGCACCTTGCAGCTGATGACTAGAATCTTAACCCAAATGGAGAGGGAGCACTGCCCCCATGTCTAGTTTTTGTTTCACCATAACTATCTGCTCCTTTTGAAGAAATGCACTTCTAATCACAAGTTCATCAGGAAGTGGTCTGCATATAACATCAGAGGCCCTGCAAGAAAATGAAATGGTAGGTCCTGTTTGATGGTCCTCGAGAAGACTCAAAGATTTCTGGCAGAATGCCTCATGTCCAAATTTTTCAAACAAGCAGCAAGATATAGCCGGCTAGTGGTGCGAGACTCCCTCCCACTTCACACATCACCTTCAAGGTGGCTGCAATGGGGAAAACACCATTGGCCACCTCCTTCTGGAACACACCATTATAAAGAAAGTCTCAGCAGGGATGCAGTGGTTTGACTGAAGTTCATCGTGAGCAGTTTTATGATGTAGGACTCTGCTGGACTGTGGTGCCATACTTTACAGGCTGTTCCCCAGGATGCACGCTGAGACAAACAGCAAGTATAGCTGGAGAGTCTTCAACCCAGTAAAAGATGTTCTTTGGCTTGTCTGAAACTTGGTAATCTTCCAGTGCAAGGAGTTGTCCACAACCAAGTGTTACAGACTGGCACATTGCAAACTTCAGGACTGTGTGTTAAGGGATACAGTAGAACTTAGGTCAGCTGCCACAGAAGTGCAATGGGGAAATAACGACCCAAGGCCTTTCAGTTATAGTATAATGTGTAGAGCCAGTCAGGCTAGACACTTCACATGAAATATACATTGGTAAATATCTAGAGTGCTGCAACTGTATTGAGACATCTGTTTGCAGCATATTGTTGCGAGAAATGTTAATTTTACTGCACTTTGCTCAATTTGAAATGTCTTGAATATACATTTAAAAATGTTGTGAATAAGGTATTTTTCTGGAAAAGGATTGATTTGTGTGCCCTTGTACATGAATTGTTGAAATTTAACACCAGTAAGAAATTAAGTAGGCATAAGATCTAATCTTTAGTTTTATATGGAATGCTGTGTAATAAAATCTTGCCGCAATTGTATGGGGTTTGACGGATTGTAAACAACTTTGGTCTCCAAACTTAAGGGAGGATACAGTTGTATTAAAGGGGAAACAAAGTTTTACTTCATTGATTCCAGAAACGTATAGATTGTCCTACAAGGAACAGTTAAGTAGAATTGGCATCTTTTCTCCGGAGCTTAAAATTACAGGTGACAGCATTGAAACAAATTTTAAAAAGGGATAAATATCAGAGGTTGTTTCCCCGGCTAGAAAACATAGAACTAGAAGTCATAATCTCTGAATAAAATGGCCAGCAATTTAGGACTGCAATGAAAAACGTACCTTTACTCAGGTTGCAAATATTTGGAATTCTCGAACTTGGATGGTTGTAGATTCCTAATCATTGAGTTCATGAGTTTTCTTGGACACTGGTAATCAAAGGGTATCAAGACTGATCAGCAACTTAAACATAGAAGATAGGAGCAGGAGGAGGAGGAGGCCATTTGGATAAGGAGAAAGAGATAATGGCGCTCCCATGTATTACTGTCTTTATTCTTTTAGACGATAGCGGTTATGGGTTTGGAAGGTGGTATTGAAGGAGTGTTAGTGAATTTCTACACAACACAGAAAGGACACACTGCTGCTACTGAGTATCGGTGGTATGAGGAAATGTTTGGCAGCGAACATACAGTTTTCTATAGGCATATAAACAGTAAAGAGGGGTAAAAGAACGAGTAAGGTCAATGAGGAACCAAAACAGGGAATTACACCTCAAGTCAGGGTGTATAGCTTAGCTATTAAATGAATACTTTATGTTTGTCTTTACTAAATAGGGAGAACCTACCCAGAGCACGATGATAGAGGACAAAGCTCAGTCACTAAAAGGGTTCCAAATTGATAGTCAATCTAACACTTCGGCCCTATCAGTACTTAAAGTTAACAAGGCACCTGGACCAAGACGAGATGCATCCAAGAGTCCAGAAGGAAATGAGTGTGAAAATTGCAGGAGCGCTGGCCACAACCTTTCGATCTTGTCTAGACTTCAGGCAAGTTGCCAGACTGGACTATTGCAAACATCACAGCCTTATTCAAGAAAGGTTGTAAGGATAAGCCCAGCAATTACAGACCTGCCAGTTTAATTTCAGTGATGGGAAACTTCTAAAGACAGTTATTCAAGATAGAATGAATAGTCACATGGAAAATGATAAGTCGATTGGGAAGTCTCAGTATGGATTTCTTGAGAAATAGTGGTTATCCAACTTGCTGGACAATTTGAAGTGGTAACACAATGTTCAAAGAGGAAATGCCGTTGATATGGCGTACACGGACTTTCACAAGGTGTTTGATACAGAGCCACACCACAGACCTGCGATGAAACTTACAGGACATGGAATAAAGGGGTCAGTAGCAATGTGGATACAAAATTGAATGGGTGATAGGAAACCTGGAATAATGGTGAAATGATATTTTTTGGGCTGGAGAAAGGCTTGTAGTGGAGTTCCCCAGGGCTCGGTATTGAGGCCCCTGCTTTTCCTGATAATATATACTAATGATGCAGCTCTTGGTGTGCCAGGAGCAATTTCAAAGTTTGCAAATAACATGAAACGTGGAAGAGTTATAAAGAGAGGAGGACAGTGCAGAACACCAAAAGAACACAGTCAAGTTGGTGCAGTGGGTGAATATGTGGCAGATGCATTTCAATGCAGAGGAGTGAGGTGGTGTTTTTCATAGTCATAGATTTAGACAGCACAGAAACAGACTCTTCTGATCCAACTTGCCACGCTGACCAGATATCCTGTACATATCTAGTCCTATTTGTCAGCATTTGGCCCACATCCCTCTAAACCCTTCCAATTCACCTACCCATCCAGGTGCCTTCTAAATGCTGAAATTGTCCCAGCCTCCACCACTTCCTCTGGCAGCTTGTTCCATACACACACCACCCTCTGAAAAAGTTGCCCCTCAGGTCCCTTTTAAATCTTTTCCTCTCATCTTAAACCTATGCCATCTAGTTTTGGACTCCCCTATCCTGGGAAAATGGTGGATGGGTGAGGATAATGGCTGTAACTGCTGCTCTTTTTTTTTGAAATTTCTTTTCAGTGCTGAAGCTGACTTCCTCACTTTCTTGGAGCAGTAATTACTGTGTTTATAAGCTTTGCATTCTTTTTGGAATTTTAACAAAGAATCAAAACCAATGATACTTTAAACAGGAGGAAAGAGAGCAGAGATGAAGTTTCAGGAGAATAACCACAAGGAGAGGTCAGAGGAACAAGCAATGCACTTCTGGAGCTGACTGACTGAAATTTTGATCGGAAAAACATTGAAAGACAATATCAATAAGGGGATACAATCAATATTCCATCTAAGCTACACAGCAACATGCCTGTTCCGTTGGTGTTGCAAGTTGCTGCTGGGCATGAACCTTGGAGGTCCTTGCAACAAAAAGAAAATGAGTGTGGGTACAATACTAAAGGGGGTGTGGCATCAGTCCCTCTAATCCCACCACCAATGAATTTCAGACATGATACAACATTGAACTCTTCTGTTGTATTTACTCATTTGTTTGGGCAAGAGTCTTTTCCTTTAATCCCCCTCCGACACACCCCACATAGATTGCTGCCTCTGGCCTTATACATGCAGATCATCGAGAACTGTCCATGTGACATGTTGTCTTAATTTCTCTGCTCCACCCCTTGCAAAATTATCTCCCTCTGAACTTACTGCACACTATGCTTCTGGTCCAAATAAAGGCACGAAGAGTCCTAATTCACCATCACTCTCCTCTGCCTGGGTGAGCTTGTCCTCATTTTGAGGAACTTCTTTTACTTCCTTCAGATCAAAGAAGTGGCCATGGCTAGACACATGGGCCCCAGTTATGTCTGCCTCTTTGAGAGGTACATGGAACACTCCTTGTTCCAATCCTACTCCGGTCTCTCCCCACAACTGCATCCCTCTCTCATCCAGAATTGTAAACATTTAACAATTTCACTTCTGATTCCCAACCAGCTCTCGCCTTCACCTGGTCCATCTCTGACTCCTCCTTTCCCTTCTTTGACATCTGTTTCAATTTCTAGGGATAAGTTGGCCACCGATATCCACTACAAATCCACTGACTCCCACAGTTCCCTGGACAATACATCCTCACACCCTGCTTCCTGTAAAGACTCTATTCCATTCTGCCAGTTTCTTTACTTCTGTCACATCTGTTCCAATGATTCTACCTACCTGCCTCAAAAATATCCACCTTTTTCCTCAACTGAGGATTCCCCGCCACTATGATAAAACCCATACTGAGCGGACGCTTTGCTGAACACCTACGTTCTATCCACCAAAATCACCCTGAGCTTGCAACTGCTTGCCTCTTCAACACACTACTGTGTTCCATGGCCAGAATTTCTGTTTCAGGCCTGCTGCAGGGTTTCAGCGTGGCTCAATGCAAGTTGCAAGAACATCTCATTTTCCACTTGGAGACCCTGCAGCCTTCAGGGCTCAATACCGAGTTCAAGTATTTTAGAGCCTGCTCACCTCCTTCCATTAACTTTATCCAGCCCCACATCCCAGGCCTGGTCATCACACGGGCTGCTTTCAGCACAGCCAACTCATTTTCACCTACACTTATGGTTCCCGTTATCAGCTTTTCTTTTTCCCTGGCATGTTATCATCCATCTCTTTGTCTGCCTGTCATTCTCTGTCTGAGTTCCATTTCCATCTATCTGCTCACTTCTTTTCTCCACCCACTCTTCAGCACATGTACCACTATTTCCTAGCTATTATTGGTTCTGAAGATGATTCACTGGACTTGAAAAGTTAACTATGCTTTCTCTCCACTTATGCTGCCAGTCCTGATGAGTTTCTCTAGCAATTTGTATTTTTGGAACATAACATTCAAGTTAAGGTTTGCATTGCAGATCATTGACCTGTTCCAGTTATAATGAAAGGTTGTCAGCATCAAACTCAGCTCGACTTCTTCCAGATACTACCTGACCAGCTGAGGCTTTTTGCACTCTATTTAATTCCCAGATAGTCAGCATCTGCTGCATTTTGCTTCAGTTCCCACTATAAACAACTTATCACATGGTGGAAAGCTATATGGCAAACGTGTGCAGTAAAACGGTGGGGATGAAAAGATAAGCTAAATGTCAAAGTGTTTTCACAATAATGCTGTTCATCCAAGACCACTCACTCATTTCTTACTCAAGACGTAATGTTACTGACAACATAGCTGATTAATGAAACCAACTTTGCATTACCTGTTTTGGCTGGAAGTAGTGGAACTGCAATGGGTTCCAATGTCTCCCAACTCTCTCGCTTCAGACTTTTCAGGGCTGACCATTTTAATTCTGTTTCCTGCAATAACAGTTGTGTGCATATACAAAAAGAAACATTCAAATGCCATGATTCAAAGAAAATGAAACTTTAAAAAGATTTAAACAGTCACTTTGTCGTGCAGAACTTGAATTTTGCTGAAAAACGGCACATTGCTAAAGATTTTCATCCTGCACTTGTCAGGACAAATGCAAGAACGCCAAATGATCACAATAATTTATACTACAAAAGAAAAAGAATACTGATTGATTGGAAAGGCAAATTGTATGACCAAATGATTTTTAAAAAAGTTTCTTTTCAGCACTATAGATCATAAATAAAGATGCAGAATTAAGCCATTTGGCCCATCAAGGCTGCTCCACCATCCAAACATGACTGATATGTTTCTCAACCCCACTCTTCTGCCTTCTCCCTGTAACCCTTGATCCCGACACTAATCAAGAACCTGCCTTCTGTTTTAAATACACTCAAATAACTTGGCTTTCACAGGCTTCTGTAGCAATGAGTTTCACTGATTCACCACCCTATGGCTGAAGAAATTCCTCAATACAATTCTAAAGGGTCATCTCTTCACATCGGGTAGGCGATGGCCTAGTGGTACTATTACTAGACCATTAACCCAGACAGTCAGCTAATGCTCTGGAGAACTAGGTTCGAATCCCATTGATCACCATGAAATCATTGTCAATTGTCAGAAAAACCCATCTGGTTCACTAATACCCTTTGGGGGAAAGAAATCTGCCATCCTCACCTGGTCTGGCCTACATGCAACTCCAGCCCCACAGCAACGTGGTTGACTCTCAGTTGCCCTCTGAAATGGCCGAGCAAGCCGTTCAGTTGTACCAATCACTACAAAGTCTCAATGAAATGAAAATGTACGGATGACCTGGTATTGACCTGGGCACCAGAAAAGACAACAGCAGAGACCGCCCTACCAAGCCGCTCATCATCCTGGCTAGGAAATATATTGCTGCTCCTTCACTGTTGCTGAGTCAAAATCCTGGAATTCCCTCTCTAATAGCATTTTGGGCCAACCCACTGCAGGTGGACTGCAGCGATTCAAGAAGGCAGCTCATCACCACCACCTTCTCAAGGGCAACCAGGAACAGGCAAAAAATGCTGGCCAGCCAGCAATGCCCACATCCCACAAATGAATAGGAAAAAAAACTGTGACCATTGCCTAGTCAAAACTTGTTCTACACAGGTCTCTAAGCATTCTGTAGGTTTCAACAAGATCTCCTCCCATCTTTCTAAACTCCACTGAGTACAGACCCAGAGTCCTCAACCCACCCTTCATATGATGTGGATGTGCCTGTGCCTGTGTTGGATTGGGGTGGACAAAGTCAGAAGTCACACGACACCGGAACCACCTGATGAAGGGGCTACACTCCAAAAGCTTGTGGTTTTAAATAAACATGTTGGACTATAACCTGGTATCATGTGACTTCTGACTCCTCATATGACAAGCCCTTCATTCCTGGGATATTAAAAGATTTAAAAAGAACCAACGCAAACTTCCCCCTTGAGCGGAAATATTGTTGATACAGTAAAGTTTCACCTGATTATCTCTACATTTTATCTGAAGTTCCTGTGTAGAACCTAATTTTATGAAATGCTTTCCAACTCAAAACAAATATCTGATAGATTTGTACTACCTTCCCCGCAGCTACTTCTTCCCATAACTGGGGTGCCCTCTCCTAATTTTCACTTTCCACTGCATGAAAATCTGACTCATCTTCCACCATCTATGAACATATGAAAATAGGGTCAGGATTTGCCTTTCTGCACTCAAGCCTGTTCTACCACTCAACAAGATTATGGCTGAGATAACACAGTGTGGAGCTGGAGGAACACAGCAGGCCAGGCAGCATCAGAGGAACAGGAAAGTCGACATTCCTCCAGCTCCACACTGCGTTGACTTAGATGTACAAAACACTCCTACCACGTTAGATAGTAACTGCTGTTGCTCTAACCTAGCAAGCAGTCTTCAGTATTAACGGTGAAGTCTCCCCAGCATGAGGGAAACCCGGTGCAAATATGTTTGACTGCTTTGTTGATCAAGCGTGAGGTGGTGCAACGAGCGGTTATTGCCCCTGTCTCTCCTCAGAGCTACTCCCCGTCTTCCCGGCTGCTGCTCATGAGGGGCAGCGGCGCCTCCCGCTCCCGCAGTTCGACCCTCACCTGTTGGTCTCCGCCCTCCGCACAGAACGGCTGGACATGTCCATACTCTCCCCAGCCTCCTGGCTCCCACGGGTTCCTAGCGGAGGGGCCGGAGTTGTAGAAGCTGGGATAAAGAGAATAGGGGAAAGCGCTCTCCATGCCGCCGTCGCTGAGCCCACACGGCACCCGTACCGAACCCCGCCCCTCCAACCTCCCGCCTGCGCGCGCTGCCAGTAGCGAGGACCGACTTCCGGCTGACGTAACAACGAGGGGGCGGGCCCTTCGCGGGCGTATCGTTCTAACCGCCGGGGAGCCCGGCAGCGCGCGACTTTTCTGTGGGTACTCGCGGACGCCATGTTGGTGAGGGCGAGTGAAGTGGAGGCCCCTGCGTTACCCAGGGCAACCGAACGCTCTCCGGCAGAAGCTGCTCCGTAGATCTGTGCTTGTTCCGAGAGCACCACAGGCTGTCTAGACTAGAACCGAACACAGCTGATGTATCCCCTAACCAGTAATGCAACTCCCCACCTCTATTGCTTCCGCCTCTGTCTCGTCTAAAGCATCAATATCCTGGAAAGTTAAGCTTCCAATCCTGTCCCTCTTTCAACCATATCTCTGTGATAGCAACAAGATCGCAATTGCATACATTAGTCCAGTTTATCTGCCTTGCCTGTTATACAACTTGCATCGAAGCAAGTACACTCGAAGCCTCCAGTTCCGCTAAGCTCCGCAACCTGTCCCTGACTGCTCTTCCTCTGAGTTATATTTGCTTTTGACTCAAGCCCTTCCCCAGCCTGTATATTTACTGACTTGCTACTCCAGATCAGACCCCCACCACACTAGTTTAAACCTCCCTGCCAAGATATTGTTGCCCCTCCAGTTTAGGTCCAACTTGTCCTGCCTGTTCAGGTCTCCCCTTACCTGGAAGGCATTCCAATGACCTGCATACCTGAAGCCCATCCCCCCACACCAGTTCTTTAGCTACGTGTTCAATTGTAGTGTCTCTGTTCCTAGCCTGTGCAGCACATCGCATGGGGCGTAATCCTGAAATTACTATCTTAGATGTTCTACTTTTCAGTTTATTACCTAACTCCCTGAATTGTTGTTGCAGGATCTTGTACTATTCCTACCTATGCCATTTGTGCCAATTTGCACAACAACTTCCATCTGTTGAATCAGAGACAGTAGGAACTGCAGATGCTGGAGAATCCGAGATAATAAGGTGTAGAGCTGGATGAACACAGCAGGCCAAGCAGCATCATAGGAGCAGAGAGGCTGACGTTTCGGGCCGAGACCCTTCATCAGAAATGGAGGAGGGGAAGGGGGTTCTGAAATAAATCGGGAGAGAGTGGGAGGAGGATAGAGGAGAGGATAGGTGGAGAGGAAACAAACAGGTCGAAGAGGTGGGGATGGAGCCAGTAAAGGTGAGTGTAGGTGGGGAGTTAGGGAGGGGATAGGTCAGTCCAGGGAGGACAGACAGGTCAAGGGGGCGGGATGAGATTAGTAGGTAGGAGATGGGGTTGCGGCTTGAGGTGGGAGGAGGGGATAGCTGGGAGGAGGAAGAACAGGTTAGGGAGGCGGGGACGAGCTGGACTGGTTTTGCAATGCGGTAGGGGGAGGGGAGATTTTGAAGTTTGTGAAATCCTACCATTGGGCTGCAGGGTTCCCAAGCGGAATATGAATTGCTGTTCCTGCAACCTTCGGGTGGCATCGTTTGTGGCACTGCAGGAGGCCCAGGATGGACATGTCGTCTGAGGAATGGGAGGGGGAGTTGAAATGGTTCGCGACTGGGAGGTGCAGTTGTTTATTGCGACCTGAGCGTAGGTGTTCTGCAAAGCGGTCCCCGAGCCTCCGCTTGGTTTCCCCGATGTAGAGGCGGCCACAACGGGTACAGTGGATGCAATATACCACATTGGCAGAAGTGCAGGTGAAAATCTGCTTGATGTGGAAAGTCATCTTGGGGCCTGGGATGGGGGTGAGGGAGGAGGTATGGGGGCAGGTGTAGCACTTCCTGCGGTTGCAGGGAAAAGTGCCGGGTGTGGTGGGGCTGGAGGGGAGTGTGGAGCGGACAAGGGAGTCACAGAGAGAGTGGTCCCTCCGGAAAGCAGATAAGAGTGGGGAGGGAAAGATGTCTTTGGTGGTGGGGTCGGATTGCAGATGGGCTTTCTGTCTCCATCTCGGGCAACCACCTAGAAACCGATATTCATTTCAAGCCCACCGACTCCCACAGCTACCTAGAATACTCCTCCTCCCACCCACCTTCCTGCAAAAATGCCATCCCCTATTCCCAATTCCTTCGCCTCCGCCGCATCTGCTCCCAGGATGAGGCATTCCACTCCCGTACATCTCAGTTGTCCTCGTTTTTCAAGGACCGTAACTCCCCCCCCTCAGTAGTCGAGAACGCCCTCAACCGTGTCTCCCACATTTCCTGCAACTCATCCCTCACACCCCGTCCACGCAATAAGAACCAAAAAAGAATCCTCCTCGTTCTCACGTACCACCCCACCAACCTCCGGATCCAATGCATCATCCTCCGACACTTCCGCCATCTGCAATCCGACCCCACCACCAGAGACATCTTTCCCTCCCCACCCTTATCTGCTTTCCAGAGGGACCACTCTCTCCGTGACTCCCTTGTCCACTCCACACTCCCCTCCAGCCCCACCACACCTGGCACTTTTCCCTGCAACCGCAGGAAGTGCTACACCTGCCCCCATACCTCCTCCCTCAACCCCATCCCAGGCCCCAAGAAGACTTTCCACATCAAGCAGATGTTCACCTGCACATCTGCCAATGTGGTATACTGCATCCGCTGTACCCGTTGTGGCCTCATCTACATCGGGGAAACCAAGCGGAGGCTCGGGGACCGCTTTGCAGAACACCTACACTCGGTTCGCAATGAACAACTGCACCTCCCAGTCGCGAACCATTTCAACTTCCCCTCCCATTCCTCAGACCATTCCTGGGCCTCCTGCAGTGCCACAACGATGCCACCCGAAGGTTGCAGGAACAGCAACTCATAATCCGTTTGGGAACACTGCAGCCCAATAGTATCAATGTGGATTTCACAAGCTTCAAAATCTCCCCTCCCCCTCCCGCATCCCAAAACCAGTCCAGCCCGTCCCTGCCTCCCTAACCTGTTCTTCCCCCCACCCATCCCCCCCCCCCACCCCCAGCCACCCCCCCATCTCCTACCTACTAACCTCATCCCGCCCCCTTGACCTGTCCGTCCTCCCTGGACTGACCTATCCCCTCCCTAACTCCCCACCTACACTCACCTTTACTGGCTTCATCCCCGCCTCTTCGACCTGTTTGTTTCCTCTCCACCTATCCTCTCCTCTGTCCATCTTCTATCCGCCTCCCACTCTCTCCCTATTTATTTCAGAACCCCCTTCCCCTCCCCCATTTCTGATGAAGGGTCTAGGCCCGAAACGTCAGCCTTTCTGCTCCTATGATGCTGCTTGGCCTGCTGTGTTCATCCAGCTCTGCAACTTCCATCTGTTTATTAACCCATTTCAGGATGCTCTGTACCCACTCAGAGACACCCATGACCCCAGCACGAGGGAGGAAACATGCAATCCTAGACCAGGCCTTGTTATCACACAGCCTGCCTTTACATACTACCTATTGTTAGTCACTAACAGACCCCATTAACAGCTATTCACCCTCCAAGCCAGATTATCATCAACTCCTTTCACTCTCTTCAGGCTCTATCCTTTAACTTATTGTTTACTCCCTACCACACCCTCCTCCCTTTTTTCTGCATATACACTGATGTTTTGCCAGCTACCACAGTTCTGACGAAGGGTCATCGGACCCAAAACGTTAATGCTGATTTTTTTCTACACAGATGCTGCTGAGATTTTCCAGCAACTTCTGTTTTTGTTTCCTAAGGCTAACCCACCAAGCCTGCACGCTTTGGGCAATTTAGCATGGCCAATCCATCTAACCTGCACATCTTTGGACTATGGGAGGAAACCAGAGCACCTGGAGGAAACCCATGCAGACGGGGGAGAATTTGCAAATTCCACACAAACTGTCGCCCAAAGCTGGAATTGAACCCAGATCCTTGGCGCCGTGTGGCAGCAGTGCTAACCACTGAGCCATTGTGCTTATGAATTTTATCACAGTCAAAATTCCTTTTTTTTTGAGACTAACCTTGGAGTAGTTCAGAAATGTTCGTGCTGAACTGAATTCTGGATAATGAGAAAAACAATAGTAATTAGAGATTTGATAGTGCACAGATGATTCTGTGGCTGCAAGAGAGACTCCAGGATTGTATCAGAGATAGTAGGAACTGCAGATACTGGAGAATCTGAGATAACAAGGTGTAGACCTGGATGAACACAGCAGGTCAAGCAGCATCAGAGGAGCAGGAAATCTGACGTTTCGGGTCCAATCAGCTTTCCTGCTCCTATGATGCTGCTTGACCTGCTGTCTTCATCCAGCCCTACACCTGGTTATCTCAGATTCTCCAGCAGTTCCTACTATCTCTGATACAATCCTGGAGTCTCTCTTGCAGCC